ACTGTTTCTGGGTGAGCGGAGTCTGTAACCTGAAGTGTATGTAACCTGAAGCATCTGTAACCCGAGGTACCACTGTATTAGAAATGGCAACATGAGTCATCCACAGAATCCTGTAAAAGCTGGCCCTTAAAACTTTCAGCAATTTGAAGAAGTGGGAAGTGCAAAGCCGTCTTTTGAGGAGACAGGGAACGTCAAGTACAGAGTGAGCATGCAACCCTACAATATGTCTTGCTAAAAATAAACCCTTTGATAGCTTGAGCAAAGAATGTGAAATGCTTGCATAAGCGTGAACATCATGCTGACAATTACTAGAAATTAGTTTGAGTTTCATGATCTTGCTTAGTTTACATACCACATCTTAACATCTTTCCTGTTTAAATAGACTTACGGATAGCCCATTTCCTCACTAGGAGAACGTTTGTAAAGATGCAAACAAATGCAATCAAATAACACCTGCGAGCAAGTCTAATTGAATTCATAAGTGGGGCTTCCTTCAAAGTTGCAAATCACTGAATGCTGCAAATCCCATTTTGCTTGAGAACATTCACGATATGACACTGCCCATCAGATATTCTCACCCTCTCAAACACACACACATACACAAAATCCCCGAAAGCTAAAGCAAATTTGTTGGGGAAGGATCTTTCCGGCTCTGAAATGTCAGCTTTTCAGGCAAGCAATCTGTTGCTAAACATCTCAGAGTTGAGATGGAAAAACAGGATGTCAACATGTGATATTTAAATTCCAAGTGAATTGCCAGATTTAGGAATATGCTCAAACACAAACAGTGCATTTAAAAGACAAAACGGTTACGTCTGAAATTTGCATCCTACTCAACGAATACAAGCCCAATATGGGACTTGTTTCAGATCAGCATGTGAACTTCAGCTCCCTGCAGCAATATGGATTTCTCTTGTTTCTTCACCACCACCCTACCCCAGATTTCCTTCCTCTCTCAAACTCTTCACTCAAGCTTTCACCTCTGTCCTTATTCTTCCGGACCATCACCCACTGCAACTTTCTTTTCTCAGTAACCTCCCAACTTATCACGCCCTGCTGGTTATATATCCCCTGTCCCCACTTTTCCTAGCCTCCTATGCCCCCCTTTCCATAGACTTTTATTCCTTCTCCGCCCATCTTTAGGATCTGAGCTGCTCAGCCAATGACTGCCTGCCCTGCCCCTCTTTGACGTTAGAGCAGCTCAGCCAGTCACTGCCAAAGGCGCCATTAGAAGTCCCACAAAATCTGTTCCCGCTCTGCTCTCGCACAGTGTTTTGAAACCCTCTTCCTGTTACGAAACTATAAACGAGGTATGCCTCAATTTGCCAGGTGCCCTCACTGCTGAAATCAGGGATTTGAAGTTTGGAAGGATGCACATTTTTCACTCGGAATAATGGGCGTTCAAAACTCCCATTATTCCAGGCGCATTTTGCGACGGGGAATTTCATTAGTGTGAGCAGTTTCTAAGCTCTGGGCGCAGTACTGCTCCTAAGATTTCAGATTAAAACTGCAGAGTGGAAGGAAAGGAGGACCTTTTTCTGCCTCTCCACTTGCAGCCTTTCTCTGAAGACTGGAGAAAAGACCCTCTTAAGAATATTGGAGGGTGGGCAGAACTAGACCTTGTGAAAAATGAACATAATATTTTAGCTGCAGTTCATTCATTTTCAGCTTTGTATTCTTGTTATATATAAAAAAGTGCATCTAGACATTCTGTTGTTGCACCCATAGCCTAGGTTTTAAGGTGCTGTTTAGGTCCTAGTTCTCATATCTCGGTTTCTAACACTGATTCCAGATATGTATCTAGAAGGTCATGCCTTTGGGGGGCAAAAATCAGCCTGGCTAAAGCTTTTCTCTCTTCATATATGTATTTAAAAGATACCCTTGAAACAGCCTGCACTGGGTTTCCCCTTCTTGCACAGACAGGTTGCCACATATTTGCACCGGTGCATGTTGCACGGTCCAAATTGCGAAGAAGTGGCAACTCCACAACCAACTCTCTATCTGAATGCCCTTCACAACAAACAACACGGCATGGCGCACAGCTGCGGTTGTCCGACTGCTCCCGTGCTGAAAGCATTGTGTTACCCCGCAATGCATGCACTGAATTTGCGAGTAGCTGTTTGTCAACAAGCTTAAAAGTACTTGCCTTTTGGGGGGGGGGTTCAGGTCCGCTGACTGCACTTGACTGTTTTAGATGATAACTCTTCTGGCGTTTCCTCCCAGGCTGCTGGTTACACAACAGCTCCCCTTGTCCTGCTGCATTCAGTTTATTCAACTGCTATTTTTAATTGTGTTAATTATAAACCATGATCTGTGTTCCTCCAGCGGACTCCCAAACATTTCGGAGTGTCAGGCAGCTGGGGCAGCGATGGAGAGCAGCCCAGATCTGAACAGATTCTCAGCTATCAATTAGCGTCATCAGGGCATCCTAGGCTATTTGAGGGTCCGCTCCTGCTACCCAGGTGAGAGGATGTGGGGAAAGGAATGGAACAGATAGCAAGGCTTGCATATTTTTTATGCCAGCAGAAACTGGGATGGTAAAGCGAGATGCTCTGTCTGCTGTCATATATTTGATTAAGAACAAAGCCACAAATGCTTCGAAAGAGGAGACAGCTCCGCAACTGTGAGATTGCTGTGGGCTCCTTGCTACGCCACATTTTATACCAAGGATATGACCTCACAAATCCTTTATGAAGTCAGATGCAGATGGCAAATGTGTGTCATACTATGTCAGAGAAGGGCACCGGTGCAGTGATCATCAAAGCTGAAATGGCCGTTAAATAATTTTGGGGGTAAGGGGGTCATTTGGAGTAGCTCGCTCATGTCACAATGAAAATCATAACTGTTGCCAGCCCAACCAGTGAGGGATCACCTTGAAATAAGTAAATAATGTCTACAGCTGTTAAAATAATTAATGAGATCTTTAATAGGTCATCTATGGGCTTTCATTCCTCTAAATCGCTGGATTTATACTGACATCTGCTGGTGCAGAGAATCGTAACACCTCTGTTTTCCCACCCTATCCACCAAAAGGTTGTTTTTCCCTAATGGATTTTAGCTGGATTATTTCCAGCCTAACAAAGTGGCACTCTAAACAAGTGATTCAGGATCAAGAGAACGTATCTATACTTTTAAAGCTACCTTATTTCTTGTGTGAGAATCTAAGCACATGCCCAAATCTCATTTAGGATTGTGGATTAATTTCAAATTGCACTAAACTAAACTCTCACTGTATTATATATATATTTCATATTGCCAATCCACTCTGTCATAGGTTCAGGGTGGGAATAGCTATCTAAAAACATGACACTGTAAAACAGATTAAGACAGGCTTCCTCAAACTCTGCCCTCCTACAACTCCCACAATCCCTAGCTAGCAGGACCAGTGCTCAAGGATGATGGGAATTGTAGTCTCAAAAACATCTGGAAGGCCGAGTTTGAGGAAGCCTGGATTAAGTTATTAGATCAAGAATGGGGTATGTGTAGCTGTCCAAATGTTGTTGGACTCCAATACCCATCAGTCTCAGCCTGCATGGCCAATGATCAGGGATGATGGAATCTGTAGTCTAGCAACATTTGCAACTTCAGCATTAAAAGATGAGTTTGCAGGAAAGGACTTGTTTATTATTTACATTTATTTGTTTATATATTATTTTGTATTTTAAATACTGCTTGCTCAAACTTGAGACCTCTAAGTGGTTGTAGAAATTACTATACAGTGTTCATGAAGCGCTACACAAACATTGTTTTATACAAAAGCATGTACAAAAAGCCTTTAAAAGCAAATTCCATTCTCATCTCATCCATAATATGCTTTCACTTTCCTAGCATTGGGCATTTGATTTTGTTTTAATGTTTAAATGGTGTGTTTTCTTAATGGCCACTTCTCATTACAGGAAACTTCTTTAGAGGATTGAATAGTTTGTGATCCCTTTACAAATTGTATATCGGCAATAAAAAACAAACAGAAAATATCCTTTCGTTCCAGCTTTCTATTTTTATTGAAGCTAAAGTACCCCCCCCAACTTGAACATTTTTCAAACAAAATGAGCATGCATGAAAACCAGATATCTAGCATGTGAATCTGTTGAATGCGTTGAATCTGGACCTTTGCTTGACCAGTGCAGTTTGCAAAACACAATCTGAGCCCCTTCATCTGAATCCTTGTCCAGGGTGATAAGATCTGGGGAAGAGAAGAAGCTCTTCATCTGCAACAACTGCTGCTTTTGCTTGGAGAGAGCAGGTGAACAAGCAGTAAACAGCGAGGAGGAGGAAAGCAGAGCCAGGGAGCTCCAGGGCTTGTCAAGCTGGAGTTTGGGCCTTGGGAGATGCTCCTTGTGTGCTTTTGTAGAAAAAGTTTCTTCTGCCTCTCTGATAATCTTCTTTGATGATCACACATAGCCAAGTAAGTTTGTCTTCCATGAACTCGGTTTTAACAGTGAGTCCGTAAGGGACTGTCGAGGCCAGTTCTGGATCCACACGTCCTTCCACAGTGGGGACATAGGTTTCCGGGTGGGAGTTGATCATGGTGAGGGTTTGCCAAATGTGCCTTCCTCTTAGCATGTTTCTCCCTTTTGTCCTGAGTTTGAGTGTCTTCAAAGTCCATGACACCTTTGGTAAAGGCTGTTCTCCCATTGGAGCGCTCACAGGCCAGTGTTTCCCAGTTGTCAGTATTTATACTACATTTTTAAAGATTTGCCTTGAGAGAGTCTTTAAACCTCCTTTGTTGACCACCAGCATTACGCTTTCCATTTTTAAGTTTGGAATAGAGCAGTTGCTTTGGAAGACGATAATCAGGCATCCGCACAACATGACCGCTCCAACGAAGTTGATGTTGAAGAATCATTGCTTTGACACTGGTGATCTTTGCTTCTTCCAGTACACTGGCGTTAGTTCGCCTGTCTTCCTAAGTGATGTCTACATTTTTTCGGAGACACTGTTGATTGAATCTTTTGAGGAGTAGGAGATGGCGTTTATAAGTGGTCCACATTTCACAAGCATACAGTAAGGTTGGTAGTACAATAGTAAACAAGCATTTTGGTTTCCCTGCGAATGTTCTCTGCACTTCAGTCAGGAGAAAGCTGCACTCACAGAGCCCAGGCGATGCTGGATCTATCTATGATAATACTGGGGTCAGGGCTCGTCCAATGATGCTGAATGCCAGGAGAGTCAGGACAGATGGGCAGGAGTGCTTCACACAGCACATAGCTGAGATCCTTAGCTGCAGGTCGTGCAGAATATTGGCACCAAGCTGGGCACGGGTAGATGCCAGGGCAGTGAAGCCACAGCACAGGTGACCACAATTGTGGGCAATGTTGTATCATGCTTGCAGGATGCAGCATCAACTTGCAAATTAGGTGGGAGACAAAATGTGGGCGGGACCTGCAGCACATCGATGCCTGTGCATATTTGACCACATGTTTGGATGGAGGCTAAGGCATTAGCTTCATTCAGGGAGCAAATGTGCTGGAAACGGTCTGGGTAGACCTAGGTTAAAATTCCTTTTTCAGCCACTAGGATCGGTGGGTCATCTTATAGCTGTCTTCACCCCCCAGCATCACCGACCCCCCAGAGTACTTGCAAAAACAGAACGGCAAAATCACCTTGTGCTCCCCTGAAGAAGGCTAAGAGATTTATGTAATAAATCCTGGAGTTCTCCATTCTGTAGCCTATATTTAACTGCAACACATGACCTGTTTCTATTGTCTTTCTCCCTCTTTTTCTGCTTCTCCCTCTCTCAAAAAGACAGTGATGATAGCATAACTATTCTATGGCCTTTTAAAGGTGTGTGGGACGGGACGGTTATTGGTTTGCTTTTGCTTGGATTATGTATTTTGTGTTCTCATTTTGTATGTTTCTGTTGTGAACCACCTGGTGATCTTCAGATGAAGGGTGGTATACAAATTAGAGTTGCCGCACGTCCTATTTTTGCAGGACATGTCCTCTTTTTCAGGGGTAAAAGTTCTGTCTGGATGGATTTTTTGAATTTGCCAAAATGTCCGGGGTTGTGGAAGCAGGCTACTTTTTGTGTTGCATATGCGGTAATAGACAGCCAAGTGCAAAACATAGACAGACTGTGTGAATTTTGCATGATGCGGGAAAGGACCATGTCCTTGTTTTTGTATTTTTTGTAGGGACATTGTAGAATGCACCTGCTCCCTCACTCCTCGCCCCCTGCCCCAGGTGCCGGCAAACGTGTCCTCTTTTTTGCTCTTCAAAATATGGCATCCCTAAATAACCAGTGTGATCCCACTCAAGTCCAGCAAACCAATGTTGTACTCTATCAAGGAGCCATCATTTATCATGCATAGCTAGAAGTGGAGGACACTGGCCATCTAGCGTGTTGTGTGGGACTGAAGTAAAAGCTTAGCAGTTTTGAAGTAATTATTCCAAACTGGGCATTGGTGCTGCAGCATTGCCTGTCTTTATCAGTATGTTTTCCTCAGAGTGCCAAGGCACCTCTCTTCTCATTATTTAATCTGATGTCCAGGGCTCGTAGCTGGATGAGGAACCCTGTGTTTGGGCAGATCCCTCGGTTTGAATCCACCGATTTTAAGGCCTCCACGAGTGTCAGGTTTTCATGGATCATCAAATAGGCCAGTACTAAAGTGGCTGAGCGGCTTAACCCCATGGCACAATGGACAAATACCTTGCCTGCAAAGAAATAACAAAAAAACAGCATCTAACTGATGTGGAACATAGAAGGTTAAGACCAGCGCTTCCACACACAGCGGAGTTTGGGCCAGGCCCCCACCTCATCAGGGAGACCCCGGCCGCATCACGACCCCCGGCCGGCCAATCCAGTCAGCTGGGGGCGTGGCTTACCGCTTTTAAGCAGCTGCGCAGCCAGGGTGTAGGAATAACGGAGGATGACAGGAGGTTGGATGCAGGTGAGCGGTGCAGGAGCAAGCTGGCAAGCATGCTCCAAGCAGGCTGCCGACTAGCTGTGCAGAGGCTCCTTTTATTAACAGAAGTCAACAATTGGAAACAGAAGAGTTTGGATTTGATATCCCGCCTTTCACTCCCTTTAAGGAGTCTCAAAGCGGCTAACATTCTCCTTTCCCTTCCTCCCCCACAACAAACACTCTGTGAGGTGAGTGGGGCTGAGAGACTTCAAAGAAGTGTGACTGGCCCAAGGTCACCCAGCAGCTGCATGTGAAGGAGCGGAGACTCGAACCCGGTTACCCAGATTACAAGACTACCACTCTTAACCACTACACCAAACTGGCTCTCCTTCGCCTACCTTGTAGCAATCGTTACAACTTTTGTAGGGTTTGGCGGTTAGGCATTGGTAAAGCCTGGTTTGGGGGAGGGGAGGTGTGGCCATGACCTCCCCCTCCATTTTAAAGGGTATTCTGTTAAAGGAATCCAGGGGTCGTGGTTCCTGTCCGAAGCCCGGGTGGAGGCTAGGGCCATGGCATGACCTTCCAGTGACCCTGGGGGAGCTCCGAGTTGGTGTGCATCAACAGGGCTCCCCCTACTGGTGGTTTAACCCTTGTGAGACTTCCTGCATGGCGGGCAGGAGTCAGATATAATTGGTTCAATTCCAATGCCTAAGCCAATACCACTCACATTCTGTAACCAATAAAGTTGTGGTCTAAATTTTGCCCATTAACCTAATACAGTATACGGTGTTCATATGCAATTATTCAACATAAAGGGGGAGGCCTTGGGGCCTTGACATGCAATGGTAACTGTGGGAAGGATTTCTCTCCCTGAAGGTACACCCGTCTGAAGATACCCTGGAAAACCATTGAAGAGTCCATGACGGAGGCAGAACGAGACTCTATACAACACCCAGGGCCAATGATGAGATGCGGTTCCTTCTGCTAATTCTATGTACTATGTGATTCACAAATTCTATGTGAACTTTAGAAGCCCTGCATTGGGTTATCATAAAAAGACATCTACAATGAGACGCTTGAGTTACACATGTTTATGTAAAGTCAGCATTGGCCAATGAGAAGGTAAAGATCAAGGTAAGGGACGCCTGGATAGTTAAGTCCAGTCAAAGGCGACTATGGGTTGCGGTGCTCATCTTGCTTCAGGCCGAGGGAGCCGGCGTTTGTCCGCAGACATCTTTCTGGGTCATGTGGCCAGCATGATTGAACTGCTTCTGGCACAACGGAACACCGTGACGGAAACCAGAGCGCTTGGAAACGCTGTTTACCTTCTTACCACAGGGGTGCGTATTTATCTACTTGCACTGGCGTGCTTTCGAACTGCTAGGTTGGCAGGAGCTGGAACAGAGCAATGGGAGCTCACCCCATCCTGTGGATTTGAACCACTGACCTTCGGATCAGCAAGCCCAAGAGTCTCAGTGGTTTAGACCACAGCACCACCCGCATCCCTACAACGAGATGCTTGAGCTATGCATGTTTATGTAAAGTCAGCATTGGCCCACGAGAAGAGAGGTGGTTAATCAACTTTAACAATTCTCAGATTGATTGATATAGCCCAATAACTTTTTATATAGGATTTGGGAGACGGGAATAACTTCCTGCTTTTTTCCAAACTAGCCTTGCTTCTGCAGCTTCAACTTCAGCCAGACACGGAGAAATTAATCGATGCTTTCTATGCCACCTACTATCACTACCCTAGGAAAAGTTTCACCTGCTCCAGTGCTAAGCTGTTGTCAAACGCATAGGAAGACGGTCATCAAAGAGTGACAACCCCACATGTGCCACTCCTCCTCCTTTCCTGGAGATCTAGTATGGGGAAGCCCATCCCTGAGCAAGAAGGGCCAATTAAGCAAAGCATCCTTAAGTAGCTTTAAGCCCCTTGCTAAATGCGGCAAGATTAAAGGGAACAGCAGCAGCTTTGGGCCCACGCAGCTGGCAACCGAGTGCCTCTCGCATCTCGAAGGCCGTTTCTCCTCCCGCTATCTCCCTCTTACCTCCTGTAGCCTTCAAGGCATTGTGGATGAAATTCGCAGCATCCTGGAAGAAGACGCTGATATCAAACGAGTTGTCGTCAAACGCCTGCACCCCGTAGTACTCAATTGGCAGGTCTCTGTAATATCGAGCGCCCGTGTTGATGTTGTATGGCCCGTCTGCTGCGTTGAGGATGTGGGTGATGCCAAGGCTCTGCAGAATGGCTTTGCTTCGAGCTGCCCATCTGTCAAAAGATGATAAAGGGTTGCTGCGGCTGATCCTGCTCCATGTTGACATGGGCTTATTTAAGAGGCCTCTTGAGCCTCAAGGAAGCAAGAAGCAATGAGCACCTGCGTCTCATCTCTAATTCATAGCACATTCCCTGTTTACCGGACCATGGCTCCCTACAACCTGCTCTGTCAGGCAGAATCAGTTTTAGGGCTTCCCTCCCTTGCCATGCAGTTGGAGGAATAATTTCTGTTCTCCCTCTTTCTTTTGGACTACAGGTCTCTCTGTGTTACGTTCACAATTCAAAGTGTTGGTGCTGACCTTTAAAGCCCTAAACAGCCTCGGCCCAGTATACCTGAAGGAGTGTCTCCACCCCCATCGTTCTGCCCGGATGCTGAGGTCCAGCGCCGAGGGTCTTCTGGCAGTTCCCTCACTGCAATAAGTGAAGTTGCAGGGAACTAGGCAGAGGGCCTTCTCGGTAGTGGCACCCACCGTGTGGAATGCCCTCCCATCAGATGTCAAGGAAATAAACAACCATCTGACTTTGAGAAGACATCTGAAGGCAGCCCTGTTTAGGGAAGTTTTTAATGTTTGATGTTTTATCACTTTTTTATTTTTATTATTAATATTCTGTTGGGAGCCTCCCAGAGTTTTTTTAAAAAAATTATTTAATCATTTTTTCAATACAAACATCAGCCGCAAAAGACACATACAACAAAAACCATAATAACACTACTAACACAATTTGACAATTCAGATTTGAATACTGATATACCTATGACTGCACCTTTTTAACAATATTTCCCCACCTCTCCTTCCCCTACTTCCCACTACTGTCCGGCTTATCGCTTAAATATACCTTCCAGATTTCTTCCTATTTATCCATTCTTAATTTGCGTCGACATGTAATTCATTCGTATGTAGCTAGTCTGTCCATATTATCAATCCATGTGCTCAATGGAATCTTTTTGTGGCTCTTCCAATTCATCAAAACAAGTTTTTTTGCTTCTAATATGGCACGGTACTTCCATTTTTTTGGACACCTTTTATTCTCCCACGTTTCCGGAATATAATTTAGAATTAAATTCAATTTGCTTAAATAACAATTTCTTTTTATTACTCTTGCTATAAATGTCCTCACCTCGCACCAAAATGATCTTATCATCGGGCAAATCATCATCATATGTACTAAGTTCACATTTTTACTCCCACATCTCCAGCAGTTGTCTGCACTTGTTATTTTTTTCTGGTATAGTTTTGCTGGATTCCAGTGGACTCTGAATATTATTTTCTGTTGTATACGGTAAGTCTTAGATCCATAGAGGCTATCTCTGTTGATTTTATACTTGACTCCCATGTATCATTTGTTATCTGTATCTCTAACTCTTCACTCCATTTTTGTCTATCATATTCTAAATCATATTTCTTCCTGTTGAGTAGGGTTTTATATAGTGCAAGTGTAGAATTTTTTGTTTTTGTTGCAGAGGTTAAATCTCGTAGCAGCATGGGTGTTTCCAATGCTGCTATAGCGTCAGAGCCAAACTGCCTTTCCAACATATGTTTCAATTGGATGTATTGCCATCGTGTTTCACTGGTTAATCCTTACTTTACTTGCAAAGTCTTATGTTCCACAAATTTGTAATTTTCATCAATTGATTCAATGTCAAAATATCTTTTTTCATCCTATTTTGCCAAATTATTACTTGATTTCCAATTTTTAATTTTGGGTTGGCCCATGTTGTTAATTTCTCATGCTGATAGGGGTCATTCTTATTATTTTTATTTATATCCACCCCAATTTTTATAGGTGCTTTAATAGTCTCCAGGATAATAGGATATTTCATAAAATTGGAGTTGAGTTTAGTGTACCCTACAAGACGTTCAAAGAAACTACAGTGGTACCTCGGGTTACATACGCTTCAGGTTACATGTGCTTCAGGTTACAGACTCCGCTAACCCAGAAATAGTGCTTCAGGTTAAAAACTTTGCTTCAGGATGAGAACAGAAATCGGGCTCTGGCGGCGCGGCAGCAGCAGGAGGCCCCATTAGCTAAAGTGGTGCTTCAGGTTAAGAACAGTTTCAGGTTAAGTATGGACCTCCAGTACGAATTAAGTACTTAACCCGAGCTACCACTGTATATTCAAGAGTAGCCCAATTGGGATTCCAGCTAACTCTCCAATCATTAGTCTTACTCAGCAGGTAGGCCTGGTGATATCGTTCCAGATTTGGGAATATGTATTGGTAATCCTCTAAGAATGTATAAAAGCTTTGGAACAATATTCATTTTGAGGACATTAACCTTTCCCGAAAGGGAAAGGTTTAGAGGTCCCCACCTTTCAATATCAAAAGAAATCTCATTTATAATTTGATTCAAATTTAATTTTTCAATTTGGTCTATATCTGATGAAATCATTATACCCAAGTATTTAATAAAGTCTTTGCACATCCGAAATTGTTTCTATACAATGTAGCCCTTGGCCCAACTAGTAAAATCTCTGAGTGACTGGGGAAACCCAGCCAGATGGGTGGGGTATAAATATATTATTATTATTATTATTATTATTATTATTATTATTATTATTATTATTACTACTACTACTATTACATTGCCCTTGCTCGCCTCATCGCCTCATACCCTCCAACATTTATCCAATGAAAATAGGGATGTTCTAAGGAAAAGTGAGACGTTCCAGGATTAAATCAGAAACCGGGTTGGCTTCTGTAAATCCGGGACTGTCCCTGGAAAATAGGGACACTTGGAGGGGCTACTTTCCCTTTTCACCCAGGGCCGCCCCACCCATGAGGCAAGGCATAGGCGCCAACTCTGAGGCGCCCAGGTCCCTACAGCCTCCCTAATACAGTAAAATATTTAGGGCAGGTGGGTCCCCAATGTTGAGGCCAACGGGGGCAGATTTAGGGGTGCACAAAGGGTGCTCAGGCACTGAGTTTGCTGGATTTGGGGAAGGAGGCATGAGGGTTCAGACAGGGTCCTAGAGTCCTCTCACCTGCTTCCCAAAGGACATGTATGTGTCTGCGACAGAGAGCAAAAGAGGTTTTCCTTGGCAGTGGAGGGACTATGTATGTGTGTGCAAACAAGTTGGGATCTGAACATTCAAATTTCACAAAATGTAATAGTTTTATGTAAAGCAATTTTACAGTGGTACCTCAGGTTACAAACACCTTGGGTTACACACACTTTGGGTTACAGACTCCACTAACCTGGAAGTAGGACCTTGGGTTAAGAACTTTACCTCAGGATGAGAACAGAAATCGTGCAGCGGCAGTGGGAGGCCTCATTAGCTAAAGTGGTACCTCAGGTTAAGAACCGTTTCAGGTTAAGAACGGACCTCTAGAACGGATTAAGTTCATAACCCGAGGTACCACTGTATGTTTTAATTGTATTTAATTGTAATATTATATTTTAGTTGTACTTAGGTTGATCTGTGTTTTTCCCTTTTCAAATGAGCATTTAAAGGTTATGTCGATTTTAATTTGTCCATATTTCTGATAGAAAGTTGGATTACCGAACCGGTTTATACTAGTCTATTTTGTGGAATTTGGATGTTGAGATCCCAATTTGTTTGCTGCTATTTTATAGGATTTTTAACCTTCTGCTCTCCTTCTGACTGGTAAGTAACAAGATGCAATCCTTCCATTTCCTTACGCGTCTCCAAGGTAGAGGTTTGGCCACACTTGATCTACATGGTTGTCAGATCCTCCTCTGCTCCAAACTAGCCTCTGCAATTCAGAAAGTGCTGGTGTCTCATAACGGCTTCGACTTTCCGAGTTTTGATTCTTGGAGGAGCCGTTTTCAGCATGGCTCATACTTGCTTTTGTGCTTTCATGAGCTTCAGATGTAACCAAAATGGCCTTTGGGAAATGAGAGAGAAGCAGGGGGTTAAAAACTTTGTTTAAAACCAAGGTTCCAACGGGGGGGGGGGGTGTTGATTTTTAAGAGGGGGCAATTTGGAAGCTTGTTTATACCAAGTTAATGGCCTTTTAGGCTTCCTCCACATGAATAGGAACCTGTCTTCAAGGGCAGTCCCAGGTAGAGTGTATTCCAGTAGTCCAAGCAGGAAAAGAGCATGGACACCTGAGGTCAGGCAACCTGGTCCAGAAATGGCTGTGGTTGGTGAACTAGCCTGTTTAATAATAATAATAATAATAATAATAATAATAATAATATTCAAAATGAAGAGAAGACTCCCTGGAAAAGACCCTGATGTTGGGAAAGATTGAGGGCACAAGGAGAAGGGGACAACAGAGGACGAGATGGTTGGACAGTGTTCTCAAAGCTACGAACATGGGTTTGACCAAACTGTGGGAGGCAGTGGAAGACAGGAGTGCCTGGCGTGCTCTGGTCCATGGGGTCACGAAGAGTCGGACACGACTAAACGACTAAACAACAACAATATTCAAAAGTTACAATATAGCTTTGTCCACTGCCATAATTATCACAGAATGATCACTCCAATCCTCAATCCCATTTCACTGTTGGCTCGCTGAATATCCTCAATAGGAACCCAACTGGCGTAAGTTGGCCATGAAGCACTCCTATTACAGAAAAGTGAAAAGTTTGAATCCAGGTGTGCTCCCAGATTATGAACTGGATTCTTCGAGGGGAGCATAACCTCTCTCAGAGTAGGACGTGCACCTAAATTCTCAGACACATGAACCACCCACTCACAGCACTTCTGCCCTATCTAGGTTCAGCCTCTGTTTATTGAGCTCTCCGGTCATTCCATCACTGCCCAAGGCACCTGTGCAACACTTTCACGGCCTCTTCTGTTTCCATTGAAATGGAGAGAGAGACCTGCATATCAACAGCATACTGATGACACCATGCTTCAAATCCCCAGATGGCAGCTCCCAACACTTTGATACAGACATTAAATAGCATAGGAAACAGAGTGGACCTTTGTGGGACCCCACAGCCCAAAAGCCATGAGCCGAGCAATGACCCCCTGGGAGTGACGATGCAGGTAGGAGCAGAACCGTTTTAAGAAGCACCATTGACTACCAGTTTCTCCAGTCGCTCCAGAGGAATGCCATGGTCAATGGTGTGTCTTCTTGAGAGGGCAAGAAGAATCAACAAGATCACACACACCCCTGTCTCTCTCCCGATAGAGATCATCAGTCAGGGAGACCAAGGCCATTACTGGGCCTGAAACCAGGCTGGAAGAGACCTAGATCTTCTACAAGCATACCTGCAGCTGACTTTCTACAACCATGAAAACAATATTAGAGACTGGACGGTAGTTTCCCAAAACCTCTGGCTCCAGATAGGACCTCTTTGAGAGGGAGTGTACCACTGCCTCTTTCAAGGTGGTGGGCATAGCTCCCTTCTTGTTACCGTTGTACCTCTTTGTGACTTAATATTCTGTCTTCTTTCTGCAAGTTCCTCGGACTCTCTTCCGTGCTTCCTTGTGTTCACTGTGACTGATGTGTTCCCAGCCTTCCTCCTCCTCCTCGCTCTGTTTCTTTTCTTAGTCGCCGACGTCCAACACGGGGATAAACAGCGCGCCTCCTCTGCGAGCTTGTGGATTAAGTTGCTGATACTCTGTTATTTTAAGTGCTTGCGGTTTTAAGCCTCGCTTCAAGCAGCGTGGGCCGCTTTGCATCCTGTAATTGGAAGAGAAAGAGGGAAAGAATACCTTCTGGGTAACTGCAGGAGTTTCAGGGTGAGATTACACCAGCTGCAGGCGACTGAAGATTATGAAAATTCAACACGGGATGCGGCTTGTGGCAGAGGTGCTCCCCAGGGCTTCCTATCCATAGACAGAGCAGGATTGGGCCAGCCTCTCAGCATCCTATTGAGTTAGCAAAATAATTTCAACAAGTATTTCGTGGCATTGCAGAAGGTTAAAAGAGAGCTCCTTGCAAAATGGCCTTCTGCACTGCTACTAAAATACAAAGGCTATTAACAGCCCTGGTGAGCAGAAAAAGTGGATCGCTGACGCCAGATTACCTTTTGCAGTATGATTTGTGTGCATGTGTTTATGCGTCTTGTCTCAAGTGTGCGTACCTACCAAATGATGTGATCCACCCATAACATGTAGGATGCTGGTGGCGCTGTGGTCTAAACCACTGAGCCTCTTGGGCTTGCTGATCAGAAGGTTGGCGGTTTGAATTCCTGCGACGGGGTGAGCTCCCGTTGTTCGGTCCCAGCTCCTGCCAACCTAGCAGTTTGAAAGCACGCCAGTGCAAGTAGATAAATAGGTACCGCTGCGGCAGGAAGGTAAAAAGCATTTGTGTGCACTCTGGTGTCCGTCACGGTGTCCCGTTGTGTCAGAAGCGGTTTAGTCCTGCTGGCCACATGACCTGGAAAGCTGTCTGTGGACAAATGCCGGCTCCCTTGGCCTGAAAGCGAGATGAGCGCCACAACCCCATAGTCGCCTTGGACTGGACTTAACCATCCAGGAGTCCTTTACCCTTTTTTTTTTTAACTTAACTAGTAAAAGTAAAGGTAAAGGAATCCCTGACTGTTAGGTCCAGTCGCAGACGACTCTGGGGTTGCGGTGCTCATCTCTCTTTACTGGCCGAGGGAGCCGGCGTACAGCTTCCGGGTCATGTGGCCAGCATGACTAAGCCGCTTCTGGCGAACCAGAGCAGCACACGGAAACGCCGTTTACCTTCCCGCTGGAGCGGTACCTATTTATCTACTTTGACATGCTTTCAAACTGCTAGGTTGGCAGGAGCAGGGACCGAGCAACGGGAGCTCACCCCGTTGCGGGGATTCGAACCGCCAACCTTCTGATCAGCAAGTCCTAGGCTCTGTGGTTTAACCCACAGCGCCACCCGCATCCCTTGAGGAAAGTTGTCACTCGAGTGAGCTTCAAGGAGGCAGCTTGCCAGTCTAGTCTTCCTAAGCATGACCCACTGCCTGAAGAGTGTGAATCTTTAACAAGCCAACCCCTGGTCTGCAGTGATAAAATTTTCCTCCTGCATGAGGCCATCCCGACCCATGTTCTCCTGGCAAGTCACTTATGGTCGAGCACATTGAAGTCAAACTACTTGGCCTGGACTAATCGAAAGCATATGGTAAGGGTACTTATCAGAATGGTAAATTAGGCCAATACAAATATCCCCATGCCCCTGAAGAGGGGCTGAGGCAGGGAGAAAGTGGCTTTCCCTAAATATTGCCTAATTGACTAGAGATTTAAACCAGGTCCCCCAGTCCACACTCTTAAAGGAGACAGACTTACTGCGTCATGCGCTGAGCTGTTCGAGACCATTTCAAATTTGACGGCCTCTTCTCTCTGCCCCCTCCCCTCCATCCCATAAGACTTTGCCAATGCCTTGTCATTGCCTAAAAATATTTCATTTTACAAGGCAGCCGTGGAGAACAGATGCTAGAGATTGCATTTTGGCCACTAGATGTTGCTCTGCAACCGCATAAGAAATGAGAGGAAGCAATAACCGAAATGGCTGCTCTCTCATACGACGATAATTCCCCAATTTCAACACCGATAGCATGGCCTTCCTTGTTCAGTGTCCCTGTTCATTGTTAATATGTAGGTAAGATCGACAGAGTTCTGAAAATTAGAATTACGGTACCCGACTAAAGATAGAATTCTGTGGGTCCTGGTCATAATCGTAGATTCTTGAACTTTCATTTGCTGTGAAGCCCATTCTGTGGATTCGTAGATTTAATTGGACCACTATAAAACTTCTGCGTTTACTGTTTAACCGTATGGACTAAATGAAATATGACTTCAGTTTATTTTTCTGTATCTCTCTCTCTGTGTTTCCTATCCTTAACACTATATAATGTCATGGATTTAGGGTGTTAAGATGGGTGCCAGATCCACCCTAATCTCCCTTCTATTTCCTAGACTTTACTCTTTCCTTTGCTGCAGCCTATGTGTGCTGAATGACTACATCCCCACCCATGCCTATCTAAAGGTGACTAATGGCAGGCAATGCAAATGACTCAGATGGCCAAACACACTGGAAACTGGCGTATCGTGTTTGCTTGGAGGCCACCACAGAGCTGGCAAATACATGGGTGTGGTGGAGGGAGAGCATGGCTTGGGTGGTGGGGCAGGGAAATTGTGAACAGTTCATGGGCAGAGAAAGCATGACTCAGACACAGAATTGGCAGGCAGCTTTAAAAGCCACGGGTTCTCACCATACTCATTGTTCATTCGCTTTTCTCTCTTTTTTAGTGCAATGCTATTTTGATCCAATGGATTGATTTTAAAACTTTTTAATCAGCGAGAAGGCTGTGGCGTTTGCCCATTCATTTGAAAATGTTTGAACAGGGGAGAGAGAAAGGGTTAAAAATGTAGAAAATAGGAAAGCCGAAGGCGGAGCCTACCTGTTCATAAAAGGGCTTAGACCGAGGTTTTGTTAGAGTTGGTGGTGGTTAGTTGGTTGGTTTTAGTGGGTTGGTTGGTTGGGAAAGGCAGTTGGAAAAGCAGTTGGCAGGCAGTTGGAAATAGAGAGACAGTTAGGGCAGTGGGTTCTTGTGTGAGGGGAGGTAGAAGAGACAGAGACAGGATAAAATAAGACTAAGAAGGTAAAGAGTAACAATGTTTGGAATGCAGTTAAAGTTTGTTTGTGTCTAAAATAAACTACACTCTTCTTTGTTAACGTGAGAACCTGAGTGAGACTAAGTGATTTACTGGGGAAGACCTGGTTGGTGGCAGCGGATTAGAAGAAGAGTTTGGATTTGATATCCCGCCTTTCACTCCCTTTTAAGGAGTCTCAAAGCGGCTAACATTCTCCTTTCCCTTCCTCCCCCACAACAAACACTCTGTGAGGTGAGTGGGGCTGAGAGACTTCAGAGAAGTGTGACTAGCCCAAGGTCACCCAGCAGCTGCATGTGGAGGAGCGGAGACGCGAACCCGGTTCACCAGATTACGAGACTACCGCTCTTAACCACTACACTACACTGGCTCTCTCTCTGGATTAGTGGTGTATGGGTCAATAGTCCGTGAGATGACCGGGGCCTCCGTACAAACCTTATCAAGAAAGCAGGTCTTTAACGTCGTGGGTTTTTTAAATACAAGTATTTCCAAAAGAGCAGGCAAGAGATGTCACTGCAGCAAAGTCATTTGCCCTTATCTTCTTGCAAATCTTTTAAGAGTTCTCTAGTGCTTGTAAAAGAGAAATAAACAGGGTGGTGTTGTTGCTTTTTAAAGAGTTCTTTGAGTAGTGCCAGCCAGGTTGTAGGGCAGGGGTGATCTGGCAGACATTGTCAAAATCCTTTTTGGATTATAAAGTCTCCCAAAGCTGGAAAAGTTCAATTCATAAGAACAACAATAGACTCAAATATACCGTATTTTTCTGTGTATAAGAGTAGGATTCCCCCCAAATAAATTATGTAAAATTAGGGGGTGTCTTATACACAGGTAGTGCCGAGGCCATTTTCTTAAATCTGAGTCCCCCAAAATAGGGGGCGTCTTATACATGAGTGTGTCTTATAGACGGAAAAATACGGTATATGTCTATTTGCTGTTTTGCTCATGATGGGACTTGTTTACAGTGGTACCTTGGGTTAAGTATTTAATTCTTTCCGGAGGTCCGTACTTAACCTGAAACTGTTCTTAACCTGAAGCACCACTTTAGCTAATGGGGCCTCCTGCTGCTGCCGCACTGCCGGAGCACGATTTCTGTTCTCATACTGAAGCAAAGTTCTTAATCTGAAGCACTATTTCTGGGTTAGCGGAGTCTGTAACCTGAAGCGTATGTAACCCGAGGTACCACTGTATTGCTTTTATTGTTCTGCGATTATTATTATACAGTATCTTAATGTTTCATCAGTGTTAGCCAGCCGGAGAACACTGTTTCTGGGTGCCATATAAACGCTGCTTACTAAATATTAAAGTTGTTAATAAAGTTTCCCAGCCTGAAAAAATCCAGGCAGGGAAAAGTCTCTGGCAGACAAGACGAAGCATCTCACGATAGCGTCTGGCGTTTTGACGAATGTTAAACGATCCTTTAGCCTTGAAAGTAAAGAGGATAACTTCTCCCTAGGCAATGGCTATTCGCGCCAGTAGTAAAAGGAGGATGCCGGGGTACTACTAATTCTGTAGTGGTTTTGAAGTGTTCCAGCTTCTCTGGGCCACAGTGATACAGAGAAGATATTTATAATGCCAACCATCAGTTGTTGTGTGCATCTGACTGCACTGTGCAACAGATGTAGGGCACCTATATGCCTGCCGATATTTTAAAAAATCCAAAGACTTATGGCCAAACCCAGTGGGAAGTTCTCTGGAGAACTACAAGAATGAACTGGAGCTGTGTTTGATCAATAGGGCAAAGAACTTTCTGCCACTGCGCTTTAGGCTCCTTTCTCCTGCAAACCAGAAGTCCCTATCCAAAATTCGCCATCACACATTCCCTGCCAGGCTTCAGGGAATCAGCGTCCTCCCTCCCGTGGCAGTAGATAAGCAGAAGAAAGGAAAAGGAGTCTTCTTACCAGTTAGAAACTTTAATAATCACAGCGAGAGAACCCATCTCCTAGTGTGGCGGTGCTCCCAGTTAAGGATCACACCCCCCTTATGTCCCTATTAATCCACATCACTTCTACATGTTGAAATCTGAGTTTGTACCCTCTGTGCTTTGTGTGCTTTCTGTTCTGCCACTTTCTCAGCTCTTCTTGACCTTGGGGAGAGTGGAGGAATGCTTTCCAGAGAATGTGAATCTGTTAACCCTCTCTCTCCCCGTATTTCTTCACCTAGTTGTTCCCCATCCAGTATTTCCCAGCTTCTGCCTTCTGAACTATGCCCCTCTGCAAACCACTGTTCCAAAGCTATACTGTCCTCTTGCTCCTGGGAAAATCCAGGATCAGGAGCAGGGGGAGGTTCCCACCGTTCCTCCTCAGTGCAGCCCTCCTCAGCACGGTCCCTGACATTCCCTTATCTTGATCCAGAAGGATTTCCCTTTCAATGCGCCAGAAAAGGAAGGCATCCAAAGCAGCCATTTCTTCCCAGGAGATATGTTCCTGGAGCAACTGGGACAGGGGACAGTGCCAGGCACAGCGAAACCAGGCAGGTAATGTGCCTTGGATGAAGACTTTCCTGTCCATTCTTGTGTGTGTTTGCAGCAAGGGCAAATGAAACTTGAAATGCAGCAGGGGGAAATGAACTCATCTTCATTCTTCACCTTGAGAGCCAGTGTGGTGTAGTGGTTAAGAACGGTAGTCTCGTAATCTGGGGAACCGGGTTCGCTTCCCTGCTCCTCCACATGCAGCTGCTGGGTGACCTTGGGCTAGTCACACATCTCTAAAGTCTCTCAGCCCCACTCACCTCACAGAGTGTTTGTTGTGGGGGAGGAAGGGAAAGGAGAATGTTAGCCGCTTTGAGACTCCTTAGGGTAGTGATAAAGCGGGATATCAAATCCAAACTCCTCCTCTTCTTCTTTTAAGCCACGAATGTGTGCCTAGCCTTTGGTGGCACAACACAGGCTGCACAACACTCGCAGCTCTGTCATCTTAGTGATGCCACCTGAGGTGGCCACCTCACTACCTCATGGAAGGACCAGCCCTGTATTTCCACAGAAATCCATCCACACCCGGTATTTAACACCAGTCAGATTAAATCAAATAAACAAGGAATATTCAGTGTTATGTTGGAGGGGATGCCAGGAAACCGGGAATTATGTTTACATGTGGTGGGGGTGTAAATATGTACATTTTTTTAAAAAAAAAATTGCAAAAAGTGTTTAAGGAGATAACAGAAATCACTGGGTGAAAGCTGGACGAAAGTCCAGAGGTAGCATTATTATCAATTTGCAATGGGGTGGAAGGTTCGCAGGCTGTGAAGAACTTGCTCACAAATTTATTGACCACTGCACAAATTGCTATAGCTAGGAAGTGGAAGGGGCAAGGAGAATATAAAATGGAAGAATGGTATAAAGAGGTGTGGGATATTGCTATTAATGATAAATTAACATGTGCCATTAAGGTAAGATGGGGAATACACAGGAGAAATGATTTTGAGGAGATCTGGAAGGTGTTTGTAGAATTTGTACTGTTAAAACGGAAAGGCGGTAAAACCACCGCAAGAGGTGTTGAAATTTTGGGAGGTTGGATAGTTACAATGGAATGGTCTCGGGGGCAGGGTGCACATTTTTACTGTTATTTATTTATGATTATAATTTTGTCCATTAAAAAAAAATCCATCCCCAGTAACACATTACAATTTGAGATCTAAATGCATTCCCGTTCTTTAGATAACTATTAATTCAGCGCAAAGGGCTTTCCAGCAGTAATGGTTAGGGTTCAAAAAGCTCCTTACTTGTGCAATCTTATACATTAAAAAAATTGTTCAGTAGCAACATGAAAGCTTATACCAAGAACAAACTTAGTTGGTCTCTAAGGTGCTACTGGACAATTTTTTATTTTTATATATATTTTGACTGCTTCAGACCAACACGACCACCACCTGAATCTTATACATTTCTATCTAAATATAATGACTTATCTTTGCAAAGTTGTTGTAAGCCAGGATTAGTGAGATGCTATATGTGAGCGCTCTGAAAAATCTGAAAGCTGCATGTGAGACAGTGGCGTAGCGTGGGTTGTCAGCACCCGGGGCAAGGCAAGTAATTTGCGCCCCCTAACCCGTGGATTTGTGCCCCCTAACCCGTGGATTTGCGCCCCCTAACCTGTGGATTTGCCCTAACCCCAGATGTTGCGCCCGGTGCGGCCGGCCCCCCCGGCACCCCCCACGCTACGCCACTGATGTGAGATGCTCTATGGGGGCACTGTGGCCCCTTCTCAATCTTATAAGCTTCAAATTCAATCTCCCTTAAAGAGATCCAGAAAATTCAAGCACCTAACCAGCATCTAGATGTTCTAGATGTCAAGGTCCGCTCCCAAACTAAGCATTCAAAATTCCTGTCAAGATTAATAACGCAGCCTCAAGCTTAATTGCTGAGATTGGCAGCGGAAACCGAGTTCTCTGTCAGATGTTGTCACTTTGCCGTTTTGCTTTCTTCACGTTACAGAAGCCGACACAGCCTGATCTTGTACCGTAGCTCCAGATCTAAGTCTTGCAGCTGTTTCAGGAACCCTCGGTTCGGGGAGATGGCTCGATTCTGCAGGACCTTTCTGACGGCATCAGCCAGGGAGAAATTCTGACAGATCATGAGGTAAGCCAGAACCAGGGCTGCTGATCTGCTTCTGCCTAGAATGCAGTGGACCAAGATCTTTCCTGGAACGGAGATGAAATGATTTAAGAAGAGAGCAAATGGGAACTCCTTTGAGCTCTTCCAGTAGGGGATTTTGGGGGTTCCTAATTTGTATTAAAGCAATCCAAATTGTCAAGTGGCTCTGAAGCTCACTGGGTGACCTTGGGCCACTCATACACTTTGTCTCTCAGTCTGACCTATCTCAAAATGGTGGCTTGTCTGCCCCGGACACCAGCATCCCATGCTATGCTGCTGCTAATACCTAAAACATCAGTGCAGCGGTTCCACCAGGGCAGGCACCCACCGTTTGATAATATATTTTTTTATTAGTTTTCAATTGCAGTCCAATAATAGCTTCATTATAACAATGCCAAATTATAATACAATTATGAATACCAATTGTTCAAATACCAAATTATATAATTTAGGTGGCCCCCCACGTGCTAGAATGGATGGTTTGATGATTTTCTTTACTTCTGCGTTCTAAAATCTTATTAATTTCAATTACATTCCGGTCAAAATAATAATCCCTTATACAACAACGGCAATATTAATAACTTCTATTTGTGTTGACACATTAAATGATTTATAAAACTACAAGAGAGGCACTCAAACTATATCCTTGTTCTTCCTGTGTATGGCAATTCTGTCCGTGGTGTTTCTTCCTGTCCTTGTAAAATGTTCTGTCTACCTTTTCCCGGTTGTTGCTGTTCTCCATCATGCCTGGGGCGGAGCTAATATCTCATTGTTGTTTCAGAAACTTCCCCATTGCTCCATCCCAAGGCACTCACCGTTTGGTACACTTAGGGCTTTGGTGATGAATTCGGAGGCAGGGCGGAAATGTACACTGAGGTCAAAGTCAGGGGAGTCTTCTGCTGCTATTCCATAGTAATGGAACTCTGGTCCGTAGAACGTTGGGTTTCCTTTGCTTCCCCAGGCAGCGTGTGCGGCATTCAGTATGTGAGTGATACCCCGTTTCCTTAGCTCTTCCTTGTTGTGTGCCGCCGTGCTGCCGGGAAACAGATATGAAAGTGGGCAGGTGAGCAGAAATGAATCCCATGCCCTTATTTATTTATTACATTTATATACCATCTTTGGGACGTGGGTGGCGCTGTGGGTTAAACCACAGAGCCTAGGACTTGCCGATCAGAAGGTCGGCGGTTCGAATCCCTGCGACGGGGTGAGCTCCCGTTGCTCAGTCCCTGCTCCTGCCAACCTAGCAGTTCGAAAGCACGTCAAAGTGCAAGTAGATAAATAGGTACCGCTCTGGTGGGAAGATAAACGGCGTTTCCATGTGCTGCTCTTTTTTGCCAGAAGTGGCTTAGTCATGCTGGCCACATGACCTGGAAGCTGTACGCCGGCTCCCTTGGCCAATAAAGTGAGATGAGCGCCATACCCCAAGAGTCGGTCACGACTGGACCGAATGGTCAGGGGTCCCTTTACCTTTATACCATCTTTATCTTCCAAGCATCTCCAGGTGACTTACAGGGTTCTCCTCCTCCCTGATTCACCTTCACAACAACCCTGTGAGGTAGGTTAGACTGGCCCAAGGTCACCCAGTAGGCTACATGGCTGAGTGGGGATTTGAACCCTGATCCCCCAGGTCCAACACTCTCACCATTACAAGAAGAATGGCAACTTAAACTGATGGAATATGCGCAGCTTGCAGATCTAACATATAGAATAAGAGAAGAAGAAGAACATACATTTAGAGAAGATTGGGAAATGTTTATTGAATATATGGGGGGAAATTGTGTCTACTTGAAAACGCTGGCAGCATTAAGATAAATTCAACAGTGTAAATAAGTTTTGATGGATGTGATAATGGAATACTGAATGGTTTATTTTATGTAAAATATGCAGGGATTTATGTTGTGCAAAATGAACCACGGAAAGAGAGGAAGGGAAGTCATCGATATTTTAAGGCCGTTTAAGTGAATATCCTAAAACGTAAAACAGAAATTTAACAAAAATTATAAAAACAAAACCAAAAACACTCTCTCCATTATGCCACACTGGCTCATCTTATCATGGTGGAAACAGTGATACAGGGCTTAGTTTCCGATGAATGAGAAAGTATTGGATATTGATTATTGATTTATTGATTTAAACAAATATGTAAGAAGAGCATAGTGAGTGCATATCCATTCCTTTCAGCAGGCAACGCAACTGCTAATCCCACTTCAAATTCCTAGAGAAATATCATTATCATTATTGCCACAGCTCCCAGACCCAAAGCTGCATCTTCATTTTTTCTGAGGTCTGGTGGGCCAAGCCTTTTCTGTGGCAGGCCCTGTCCTGTGGAACTGCCTGCCAGCAGAGGCTTGGTAGGAATCATCCCTGCCTACTTTCAGATACCTGTTTAGAAAACTGCTATTTAGATACGCCTCTGAAACATGAATTCCTTGCCCCCAACCAACATTTTTTTAAAGTGCTTCTCCCGATGTTTTGGTCCCATGTTCTAAGTGTGGCGTATGTGGTTCTTCCATGCATGTTATCCTCACATGGGATGTGGGTGGCGCTGTGGTCTAAACCACTGAGCCTCTTGGGCTTGCCGATCAGGAAGGTCAGTGGTTCGAATCCCTGCGATGGGGTGAGCTCCTGTTGCTCTCTCCCAGCTCCTGCCAACCTAGCAGTTTGAAAGCACGCTAGTGCGAGTAGATAAATAGGTACCACTGTGGCAGGAAGGTAAACGGCGTTTCCGTGCGCTCTGGTTTCCGTCATAGTGTCCCGTTGCACCAGAAGCGGTTTAGTCATGCTGGCCACATGAGCCGGAAAGCTGTCTTTGGACAAACTCCAGCTCCCTCAGCCTGAAGCGAGATGAGCGCTGCACCCCATAGTCACCTTTGACTCCTCACAACAACCCTGTGAGGTAGGTTAGGATGAGAAACTGTGACTGGACTTTCCCCCTCTGAAATCATAAAGGGCAAGAGAGCCATGTTAAGATATCTGGGCTTCAACTTCTTCGGAAGCCTGTGACTGATCTTTTGTATATAGCACAATGGTCTCTTAATCGAGATTTGCAGGATTTTCCTGTAAAGGCTGATGCAATAGAGGGCACACTTTGAACCGATTATCTGGATAAACCTCCTCCAGTATGGACAATCACATTCGAAGGGCACAGATATCACCATGTGGTTTCATTAGCGCAGGGCATTCTCTGTGTCCTGCCATGAACTGCTGCCGAGCTGCACTTGGCACAGATGAACGGTTTTCTGAGCCGAGGGCTGTGGATAATGTTTTCATATAGATGTAATCATGATTTCATCTGGACAGGAAGGGCACACACACAGAAAGTCGCCATCCTTCCTTTTGAAACAGATGTTGCATGTGAAATGTGCCGATTTTATACTAGGTTTACGCCTTCAGAATGAAGACAGGCTGCACTAACAGAATCGCTGTTTGGATTTGTTGTTTTATTTCCATAACGGGGAAAGCTTTCTTTCATTTGTGGCTCCTTGAACATATGGACAGGGTATGTTCCTGATGTTACGACAATCCAGTGGATTGCGTAAGCTTCCCCTGGCAGGATCTCATCAGATACTTATTTCAAAATGATTGCCACTGATCTGAAAGGGTTGTGCTTTCAGCATCTCTTTCTGTCCTATTGATAGTGTCAGGGAAAGTTTAAATAGAGTGTAGGGTAGGATCAAATTCCAATAAGGCAGATCTGCCTGTAGTAGTATGAATCACCGAATCAGAAATCTATATTTCATAAATTAATACTGACGTATTCCAGTGAGGCAGTTTTGTGGCAACTTATGAGAGTCCTGCAGCTTCGTAAACACTAATAAGATTTATTGAGACAGAAGGATTTGTAGTTAGAGGTTCTTTTTTCAGATGCCGAAACGGTTGGTCTTAGCAGTTTCCCCTTTGTCCCATCCTTTCTAGACGTGGGCCGAGCAGTTTTGCAATTGTTCCGCTGATTTTCCCTGGAAAACACACTTTTTACTGCTGAATTGGAACGAACGGCAATTCACGGAAAACACAATTGCTGTTTACATACCCTCCAACATTTCTCTGATGAAAATAGGGATGTCCTAAGGAAAAGCAGGACATTCCGGGATCAAATCAACTGATGATTTCCTTCTATTGGTCCACAATAGAAAGTGTTCTCTCATACTGTATTACGGTGTGGTACGCTGGTTTGACAGAAAGTCCCTACAGAGGGTGGTGAAGACAGCACACAATATCATGGGCTGTGCCCTGAGTCCGCTAGATGTTATCGCAGGAGACCGGTGCCTCAGAAGAGCGAGGAACATTCTCAGGGATGACTCACACCCTGGCCAGCACCTTTTTAATCTCCTGCCCTCGGGCAGGAGATAGAGAAGCATGATAAGCTGCACCAACAGGTTAAAGAACAGTTTCTACCTGTGGGGCGTGAGGCTGCTGAATGGAAGACAGCAACATTGCAGCTGACGTTTGGGGTTGGTGGTCATATGACAGCACACAGAGTGTAACAAGGACTGAGAGATTGGGGGGAGGGGGGCTCGTTTAATCTCACTGTAAACAAGTGGTACAGTGACAATAAAGTATTTCTATATTATAGGTAAAGGTAAAGGTACCCCTGCCCGTACGGGCCAGTCTTGACAGACTCTGGGTTGTGCACCCATCTCACTCTAGAGGCCGGGGGCCAGCGCTGACCGGAGACACTTCCAGGTCACGTGGCCAGCGTGACAAAGCTGCATCTGGCGAGCCAGCGCAGCACACGGAACGCCGTTTACCTTCCCGCTAATAAGCGGTCCCTATTTATCTACTTGCACCCGGGGGTGCTTTCGAACTGCTAGGTTGGCAGGTGCTGGGACCGAGTGACGGGAGCGCACCCCGCCGCAGGGATTCGAACCGCCGACCTTTCGATCAGCAAGCCCTAGGCGCTGAGGCTTTTACCCACAGCGCCACCCGCGTCCCTTTATTTCTATATTCTATATTTCTATAAATCAGAAACTGGGACAGATTCTGTAAATCCGCGACTGTCCCTGGAAAATAGGGACACTTGGAGGGTCTGTGTTTGGTCCGAGTCAGTTGTAAACTACAGGGAAGCAGTGAGGCCAATGGAAGTTACACAAATTAGATTAAGATATACAGCAAGAAAATGCAGCAAGGAAAACCCTTTACAATGACAAAAGGCCAAGGAAAGATAGCAGATAGTAGCAGATGCAAAATACATATGAATATGAGATTCAAAGAGAATGGGTGTGATTCTTCTGCAGCTGACTGCACCTGATTGCAAATGAGTATAGCAAAAATAGTATAAACTCCCTCAAATGGGACAAGTACTCCAGATCTCGACCAAGTCTGAGTTCCTTTAGTTGCTAAACTAGTGGAGTCTAGCTCAGTAGCTTCTTCTTGGAAACTTCTTTTTTTTAAAGTACTATTTTCTATCCCAGGGACGCGGGTGGCGCTGTGGGTTAAAGCCTCAGTGCCTAGGGCTTGCCGATCGAAAGGTCGGCGGTTCGAATCCCCACGGCGGGGTGCGCTCCCGTCGTTCGGTCCCAGCGCCTGCCAACCTAGTAGTTCGAAAGCACCTTCAGGTGCAAGTAGATAAATAGGGACCGCTTACTGGCGGGAAGGTAAACGGCGTTTCCGTGTGCTGCGCTGGCTCGCCAGATGCAGCTTTGTCACGCTGGCCACGTGACCCGGAAGTGTCTCCGGACAGCGCTGGCCCCCGGCCTCTTAAGTGAGATGGGCGCACAACCCCAGAGTCTGTCAAGACTGGCCCGTACGGGCAGGGGTACCTTTACCTTTACCTATTTTCTATCCCATAGGGTAGACTTCAGTGTGGTCAGATCTACTTAATTCTATTAACAGTGGATTTGTCTGAATGCTGGCCAACACTAGCTTTTAAATGGTCAGATGAATTAAATAGTCTAGGAGCTTGCAAAGGGTATAACTCTTTCAGTGACAGGGTATAACTCTTCTTTCCGATAAGAGGCTGAGGCGGCAAATATCAGAGGAACCTGGATCAATTTAACAAGCTTGGAACATGTGGTCCTAATGAATTATTGCTGCCCACTCATGAGACGTTTTGACCAATAGCAGGCGCTGCATGGACATCTTAAATAGCACAGCTTTATACAAAATATGCTGTTAATAGCTAGCAACAGGAAGTGGCCAACAATGGAGCCAAATGATGTGGGATTCCTGCATTGCCCGGGGGCTGGACTAGATGACCCTCGGGTGCCTTCCAACTTCCAACGTTTGCGATTCTATGGGACTGGGGCATAGGGAACTAATGCGCCATGGCCATATGTGTTTGTTGCTGCGCTTGAGTGATAAGGGAGCTCCTCTGTGGCGTCTGCAGCAGAGGTTTGAGTGCCAGGTGCTCCAACTTTTTGGGCCCTAACAGTTCTCCCTTCCACTGTTGGAGCTTGAAATATTGTCTCCAGCTTCCCAGCTCCGTGTCCTGTCGAGTACTATACTAGCTGATGGAGTGGGGGCCTGGTAGTATCATTGAGTACCGTATTTTTTGCTCTATGGGACACACTTTTCCCCCTCCAAAAATGAAGGGGAAATGTGTGTGCGTCCTATGGAGCGAATGCAGGCTCCTTGGCTTCAGCGATAGCAACGCGAAGCCTCCGAAGCGCAGAGGGAGAGCTCCCTCTGCGCTCCGGGGGCTTCGCGTTGCTTTCACTGAAGCCTGGAGAGCAAGATGGGTCGGTGTGCACTGACCCCTCTCGCTCTCCAGGCTTCAGGGATAGCCGCCTGAAGCCTCCGGAGCGCAGCGCGAGTTCCCGCTGCGCTCTGGAGGCTTCAGGTTCCTTTTGCTGAAGCCAGGAGAGCAAGACTCTCCTGACTTCAGCAGAGAGGGAAAGCTGTGCAGCGCCCCTTCAGCCAAGCGGGAGGAGAAGTGGAAGGGGCTCCGTTTCTCCTGCCGCTTTGCTGAAGGGGTGCTGAGCAGAGAAGGGGAGAATTTTTTTTCTTGTTCTCCCCCTATAAAACAAGGTGAGTCCTATGGTCGGGTGCGTCCTATAGAGCGAAAAATACGGTATATTTTGCAGTGTTGGACGGGGCTGTTGGGGAAGTGCTCTGATCATCCCAAAGTCATTTGCTGCTTGCATTTTGACTCACCATGTGGGTGACTCTGCCTTCCCATCCTGGATTGAGTGGGCGTCAGAGAAGACAGGCACGCAGCAGTGGCATTTCTGTGATAACGGCGAGTATAGGATTGCTCAACCCAGACAATTTGGTAGGGGATAATGTAACTTGGAGAACTTACGGTCACATGACGCCGTATCCAATTTGCAAGAACACGGAATGTTATTTTTTTGCGGACGGCTTTAGTTACCCTTTAGTTTCTGTAGGCTTCGGATCAACTGAAATCCATCTGCACCGGAATTTAGAATGATACATTATGACATGTGCCAGTTGCCATGACGGGACTGGACTCTAGTGTGTTTGCTTCTCAGAACTTCTGCCTTCAGTCATGTGACTTCTTGCAGATATCTAAATCATTTAACTCTCTAGCATCTTTTCTTGAAAACAGAGGCTCAGTCTAGTGGCTGCGTATCCCTTTCAAGAGCAGAGGTTGGGATCAGTTGAGCACATTATACTCTATGCCATTTCCTACCTCAGGGTTCAGATCTGATTTTTTTATGCATCAAAGGTTGACAAGCGCATGCTAACTGTATAATTAATCCACCGTATATTTGCCAATATAAAATGCAGATAATCACTCCAGAGGATTATACTTTCAAAACACAGAGCAGGATAAAACAATATGAGTTGTCTTTGTAAATTGCATATGGATAGAGGAGCAAATTCTTGGTGCATAAACACATAACTAAGCAATAGAATATTCAGACATACAATCTGTAACCAGGCCCACAGCTAGGGTTCCTGAGAAACTCAACCTTCAATTTAGAAAGTCCATCACCGCTCATGTTTCTTGAAGACGTGCATTTTAAATTCGCCAATATAAGGTTTCAGTAGCCACTGGAATTTCTGTACTCTGCTAGGCTACCTCACTCGGCCGCAGATTTCTCAGTTTGAATACCTTGTCTACATTCCTTGCATCTTTCTCCATCTGTCTGGATATCACACCTTGTTCTCACCCAACTGTAAATTCTTTTTTTAAAAAAATCTGTATCTAACACAGGACATACTGGGCACCCCAAATGCATAGGGTGGTTTGCATCACTTGGGTGTAGATAGGACAGGTATTCTGGGCAAAGAAAGTGGGTTCCTTTGCTAGAATTTAGATTTTCAGTTTTAGCACATAATAAAATATATTATCTTGTGTCTCTGTGATAGGACTGTCTGTGCTGTTCCTGCCCCAGTCATATACAGATTTTTGTAATGTGCTTTCTGTTAGGAAGGTTGTTCAGGAATTCCCACCCATGTTGAACAACAGAGAAAAACAAGGGAAACTCTTTTCAGACTTTAACTTCAGCGTGCACAGATCTGTCCTCCGTTAGCAATGTGAATTCATTGGTTATAACATTACATCGCTGTACAGTACCTTTTACCCCACGCTCAAGCCGCGGCTTCGTTCCGGGTCACACTTACATGTTGCCTATATAAAGATTGGGCCACACTTCATCTATCTCATTTAATTCCATCCTGCAGCTGTCCATCACATGCTCCAACTCTTGGACGGAGGGTGAGGCAGATCTGCGGCTGTTCATTTTGCAAAAGGAGGCGGTCGTCTTTGGAAAGGGGTCATCCGTTGTCATGCGATGATACATGGTCGTTGCAGAGCCCCAATGAGCTCCAGTTACCTTTCGACATTTGACAGGGAGAAGCAGGTGCGCCTTTTGAGAGATGTCCCTTTTTCGTCCCCTGCCCATCCCCATGCCTAATGTGGGAACAGCCTTTGCTGACACGGCAGCACAATATGCAATAAGCACGAGTGGAGATCAACATCCTATTTTTCCTCGAAATGGAAAAAATAGTTCTTTTGAGTTGAATTATATTATTATGTACTCTGAAGATCGTTATGGAAGATCATAGAATCATAGAGTTCAAAGGGTCCTGGAAAGTGATCTAAAGTGGTACCTTGGTTCTCAAACTGACTCAGTTACAGAAGTCCGTTCCAAAACCAAAGCGTTCCAAAACCAAGGCGTGCTTTCCCATAGAAAGTAATGCAAAACGGATTAATCTGTTCCAGACTTTTAAAAACAACTCCTAAAACAGCAATTTAACATGGATTTCACTACCTAGCGAGACCATTGATCCACACATAAAATGAAAGCAATAATCAATGTACTGTACTATAAAATAAATAAGACAATATTGTAGATGATAAAAATTAAAATTACATTTTTTTTTCTTACCTGCACTGATGATAGTCATTGTTTGGATGGGGGGCTTTTATTAATTCCTGCAGTCACACCATCAATCAATCAGTAGCTGAACTGGGTTCCACACAGTCACAAAAACAAATCAACCCAAAAAAGCCTCAGAAACCAAAACGCAAAATAAATAGCAAAAACAAAAGCCCAAACTTAATCCGTTCCGGAAGTTCCAAAATGTTCGAAAACCATGGTGCAGCTTCTGATTGGTGCAGGTGCCCCGGAAACAATAGATGACAGCTGCATCGGACGTTTGGCTTCTGAAAAACATTCGAAAACCGGAACTCTTGCTTCCAGATTTTCGGCGTTTGAGAACCAAGGTACCACTGTAGTTCAAACCCATACTAACGTAGGAAACCCATTGCTGCAGCATTCCTGATAAGTGGCAATCCAGCCTCTGCTTAAAAACCTGTAAAGAAGGGGAGTCCATTTCTTTCCAAGACAAGCTTCCCCACTATTGAACTGCTTATTTGTAAGATAGTCCTTCCTAATGGAGGAGAGGGGTTCATTGGTTTGCCGAGAGTTCGCTGTAGAGGTTCCTTTTGGTGGGTGTTGGGGGCTCGCCTTGCCTCTTGGGTGGACCCTGCTAACACTATGCGAAATAGCCATTATTTCTGAGAGCATGGCTACTATTAGAAAAATACTACAATGAACACATTTTAATGAAAACATTCCAGGACAGGACAGGGAGGCTTGAAAATAACTTGCGTTCCGGGGTGCTTGCTTAGTGCTTTATTTGCTGAGCTGAAGGTCCAAATTTCTCAGTTGCTTCAGGAACCCTCGGTTGGGGAAAATCCACCGACGTTCTTTCACTGCCTGAATGGCTTTCAGCAAAGAGAAGCGATGGTAGATCATGAGATATGCCAGCACCAATGAAGACGACCGGCTTATCCCCACTGCGCAGTGCACTAAGATTTTGCCTGAAAATGAAGTAAACCACATTTTTTAATCATCTTAAAAGATGGCATTTTTAAAGTACAGAGAAGGCAGAATTCAACCATTTCTGAAACAGGTACATTTAACTTTCTGCAGTTACATTAATACTGGATAAATTTAGTCCCCAATTCTGATATTATCTTCATTTATGCCTAAATATGGGGCCCTACTTTACATTGTTTGTGTCAAGTTAATGGAAATCTTCTTGGGCTTACTTCACAGTTTAGCTAAAATCAATGTTTGGCAGAAAAAGCACTGTATGTATGTATTTGTGCGCACATTTAACAGTTTTCTTTGTTGGATTCTGATGAATTTTCAGTGTTGGGATAAACTGCAGTTTCAAAATGTACTTAGGACAAGATTGAAAGAACAGTGAATATAGTAGTTTTTGGCAACAGGGTTTCTTATATTGTTTGTTCTCAAGCAGTGATAAAAACTCACAGCTCTTTTGCCACCTGGGCATAAAAGAACATTAAACGGTAAAGTTAAATGACCCCTGGACGGTTAAGTCCAGTCAAAGGCGACTATGGGGTTGCGGCACTCATCTTGCTTTCAGGCCGAGGAAGCTAGCGTTTGTCCACAGACAGATTTCCAGGTCATGTGGCCGGCATGACTAAACCGCTTCTGGCACAACAGGACACCATGATGGAAACCAGAGCACACAGAAACGCCGTTTACCTTCCTGCTGCAGTGGTACCTATTTATCTACTTGCACTGGTGTGCTTTTGAACTGCTAGATTGGCAGGAGCTGGGAAAGAGCAATGGGAGCTCACCCTGTTGCGCAGATTAGAACTGCTGACCTTCTGATTGGCAAGTCCAGGAGGCTCTGTGGTTTAGACCACAGTGCCACCCATGTCCAGAAAAAGAACAGTGACAAAGGACAGAAGATTTAAACATGGTTTCCAATGTGTCATGGCAAAGTGATGTCAAGGTGATCAGGATCTCCAGTGTTGATATATAATGTGAGAGGAGGGTAGATAATGACACACAGGCATTGGAGACACCTGGAACCTCAATACGTTATGGCTATGTACAAATAATAAGGAAATGGGAACCAGATGAGCGTACATATGAGTAGAGAAATGGAAGCAGGAGGTAGGCAGAGAATTTAAGAAGCAAAGAATCTCTGCCTGGAAACAAAGAGAAGGTCGGGGAAGAGGCATAGGGCAAAAGCTGCTCCTCACAGGGCGGTCATCAAGTAAACCCAAAAGCAACGAGAGAGCTGAAAATCTTCCCCTAATCTCCAGCTCTCCAAAAGAAATGGCAGTGAAGTGCCAAATTGCCAGCACAGCACAACATAATATGAACATTTGTGACGCATGTTGCTTCCCTACCTCTGGGTGTGTTCAAGGCTTTGTGTATGAATTCTGCCGCGGGGTAAAAATATGGAGTCATATCAAAATCAGGAAGGTCAAAGGCTGGTACACCATAGTATTCGATCGTTGTGCCATAAAACTTGTGGGATCCTTGGCAAAATATTTTGCCGTGTGCAGCATTTAAAACATGGCTGATGCCCATTTTCCACAAACCAAATCTGTTGTGGGCCATAACACTGGGGAGAGAAAAATGAAACAGAAAGTGAGAGGCAGACTTAACAGGTAGGAGAAGAATCCTGTTTTGCTTTCAGGCGTCTTCCTCTGATTTGTGGCTGAGATCCACTTATGGTATGGAGAAAATCTCCCACGTTAAGGAACAGAAAATTCAATTATGATGTAATGAATGAACATTCTGGAATAAGCCAATGGTCCATCTGGTCCAACATGCTGTTCTCACTGTTAAGTTGTGGGTGAACATATCAGACGACACAGCGATTCTTCAAACAGCTCTTGTTTATTCAGAGGCCAGAACAGAACTGAACTGAAGAGCTCAGTCAGCCTGCTTATATAGAGCTCCAGTACAATGTTACTGTAGCAACTTTCTAAAACTATCCAATCACTGAACGTCACTTTCGATCCTTCATTTGCATACAAACTATCCAATCACTGAACGTCACTTTCAATCCTTCATTTGCATAACTATCTACAGTATCCCCCTGCTGGCCCAGGGTGAGAACTTCAGTACATAACACTCACATTGGCCACTTAGATGTCTCTGGGAAGCACGAAGCAGGATCTGAGCTCAACTTCATTCTCCCCTCTGTGGTTTCCAGCAACTGGTATTCAGAATTATACTGCCTCAGACAGGGATGGCAGAACACAGCCATTAGGGTTAGCAGCCATTGATAGCCTTGTCCTTTGCCCAATTCTCTTTTAAAGCCATCCAAGGGTGTGGCTATCACTCTATTTGTGGGAGCAGATCCCATAATAATGTCTTATTATGTGAAGAAGTACTTTGTCCTGAATCTTCCATCATTGGATGTCCCTGAATTTTAGGGTTAGGCACTAAATCTGTTAAGCGCACCAATGGACTTGGGAGCCAGTGTGGTCTAGTGGTTAGGGGGTCAGGCTAGGACTTGGGGGTTCAAATCCCCACTTAGCCATGTAGCCCACTGGGTGACTTTGGCCATTCACCAATTCTCAACCTTAACCTGCCCCAATGGGTTATTGGGAGGATAAAATGGGGAGTGGGAAGAATCGTGTAAGCCATCTTGAGCCCCTTGGAAGAGAAGCAGGGTATAAATGAAATATTTAAATAAGACCCTAGTACAGAATCCTCTGAGCCACTTTCCCTGGAGACGGTAGCCCAGATAAACGTCAGGGTACCACTGCCCTCGCCACCAAGGGCCTCTTACTCCCCAATACCCGATCACAACAACGGACAATGCACCCAACAGAAAATAGAAGCAAGATGGCGGCATGCTAGATTCCAGGCTGCAGGACAGTCCCTTTAAATTGCTATGGTCCTTGGGAAGCAGGTGGAGCCAGGGGGATGTAGGCAGGTCCATGGACTAAAAAAAGGACCAAGGAATCCGTTGGAATACCTGGTTTGCTCCCAGTGATCTCTCTATGTCTTTTGCCCTTGTTTGCCAGTTCGTGGTTCCTGACCTTGGACAGAAAGACTGTCATCCCTGCCTGGATACCATCAGCCTGAGAATGCTCGCTGGGCTTGCTTACTCCCAAAACGTCTGTGGGCTCAGCCTCACCAGAACTGGACAGATCTATAAAGACATGGCTTTACGCTGGAGTTAAAGGTAAAGGTAAAGGGACCCCTCACCATTAGGTCCAGTTGTGACAGACTCATCTCGCTTTACTGGCCGAGGGAGCCGGCGTACAGCTTCCGGGTCATGTGGCCAGCATGACTAAGCCGCTTCTGGCGAACCAGAGCAGCGCACGGAAATGCCGTTTACCTTCCCGCCGGAGCGGTACCTATTTATCTACTTGCACTTTGACGTGCTTTTGAACTGCTAGGTTGGCAGGAGCTCACCCATTGCAGGGATTCGAACCGCCGACCTTCTGATTGGCAAGCCCTAGGCTCTGTGGTTTAACCCACAGCGCCACCAGAGCAAGGCAATTGAAATGACCCAAAGAGCCAGGGAAAGGCAATGAGAAGCTACAAGGGAGGACTAGGTCTCTGAAGCAGTGCTTTTTTTTCTAAAAAAAAATGTTTAGGGGTACTCTCATTTTCCTACTCATATTGAAATACTGCCCCTCAATGAGGCCAAACTTAGATTCACAAAATATTTAGGGGTATGCGTCCCCCTGCGTCCCCCTTGAAAAAAAGCACTGCTCTAAAGGGTACAGAAGCCATACTGACTGAACTCTTTTGCCTCTTTAGCCTTCAGCCATGTCTCTTCGCAACTTGCAGGGGCTAGAAATGGCTTTTTGGAAGAAAAAGTAAGATGATATATTCAAGAATCTAACATTTTGTTCCAGATTCTGTGTGGCATTCTGAATGCACAAAATAAAAAATAAAAACTGCTTCAGGCTCGTTAACAATTAATTGCAAGACTGTATTGCAAAAATCAGATAACATGTTAAGGTGCAATTTCCTCCAGTCATGTGTCAGAATGCCCCATTGCTTTAAATGAGGTACAGTCATGCATAACAAGGTACTGGACTCAACCAGATCACAGAATGACGCATTCCTTGGAAGGAGCATTGACTTGGCTGCAGTAGTTGCGTTGGAGGAGCTCTTAAGCACTGCCCATAAAATGCTGAGCCGTTCCACGGACGTATACTTACAGATCTCCTAAGAAAAGGTTAGGCCATACTTCATCAGCATGGTTACAGGAAGGCCTCCCAGTATTCAGGAGCTGTTCTAGATCTTTAAGAGTGGGGGTCTCAGCTGTGGATGTTCCAGAACACTCAGGGTCTTTGGGCAGTGAGACACACTCTTCAGCCATCCTTATTAAAGTAGCAACTGTTCCCTCTGAAACCTGAGAAAGTGGTCCAGGCTTGCTTGTTTAATGCGCTCTTTTAGCCTGTGTGCTTGTCATTTTGAATTTATTGGACAGGTGCTGGGCAGTAGCAAAGCATGCAACCTGTTAAATCAAAGCTTGGAAAGGAGGTGCCATTTTTGCACACCCTGAAGGCAAACAGTCATTCAGCAACAGCCACTGTCACACACACAGGAGCATGATTTCTGCCAGAGATGATATCTCCAGTCTTGGGAAACAAAAGACGAGCTTGTTGAAGCCTTAATGACACAATGGGCAATAGATATAGGACACAATATAGATTTTAACCTCTGGGGAAAATTCTGGAAAAGCAACTTTTAAGTTTAGAGCATGTTATTCTTCGGAGGAGAACTACCGTACTTGAGAATGATTTACAGCTGGTCCTTGCCTCCGAGTAGGTTTGCTTAGATGTATAAGACTGAATCAGATAAGTGCTGGAGATGCAAAGAAGTGGAGGGAACGTTCTTTCATATGTGGTGGACTTATAAAAGGGTAAAAGAAAATTGGGAAATGATCCATAATGAATTGGGGGGAAGTGTTCAGAAGTACCTTCCCAAAAAACCAGAGTCCATTTTGTTGGGGATAATTCAGACTGAAATTCCCAGTTGTCAAAAAAGGTTATTTATGTATGCTGATACTATGGCCCGTGTTTTGTTAGCCCCAAAATGGAAAACGAGTGAGGTCCCAACCAAAGAAGAATAGCAACTTAAGTTGACAGAATATGCGCAACTTGCAGACTTAACATATAGAATAAGAGAACAAGAAGAACATACATTTAAAGAAGATTGGAAAACATTCATTGAATATATGGTGAATAATTGCATTAAGCTGAAAACGCTGGCAGCACTGAGATAAATTCAACAGTGTAAATAAGTTTTGATGGATGCAATAATGGAATACTGATGGGTATATTTTTTGTAAAATACAGTGGTACCTCGGGTTAAGAACTTAATTCGTTCTGGGGGTCCGTTCTTAACCTGAAACTGTTCTTAACCTGAGGTACCACTTTAGCTAACGGGGCCTCCCGCTGCCGCCACGCGATTTCTGTTCTCATCCTGAAGCAAAGTTCTTAACTCAAGGTAGTATTTCTGGGTTAGTGGAGTCTGTAACCTGAAGCGTCTGTAACCCAAGGTACCACTGTATGCAGGGATTTGTGATATGTAAAATGAACCATGGAAAGAGAAGAAGGGAAGTCATTGATATTTTAAGGATGTAAAATGAGCATTTTAAATTGTAAAACAGAAAATTTAACTATATATATATATGATGATATCTCCAGTCTCATGCATTCTCTTGCACAGGAACTCTAACTGCCTTTCAATCAAGCACTCTTCATTCAGACATTATTGCCATGGATTGGACAGGCATTTTTTTGAGGTTTTTTTTCTCTGGACCCTTGGCTGCCAGGCTCAGCAACACAAGGATCGTGGATTAGGAAGAACGCCCAAGGTGCAATGAGTTTTATATGTCTTATGCACAAAGACAAGCCTGTTAATCACAAAAAGTAAAGTCTGATTCCAGATTGTAGAGCTAAGGCTTGACATATGGACCAGGAGATTCTGAAAGACATGGTAATGGCGAGGCAGAACAGTAAGTGGATTATGATGCTTCCGAAGATCACTTCTTCTCCTAGCCGGCTTACGGATTTTGAGCAACACAAGCAGCAAAACCGTTATTTATTAAGGGTTCTACACTCCTCCTGTGCTTGCCGATATTATATTGCTCATCAGTGAATCCACCTGAGCCGACAATTTAAAACGCTGATGCGCTATTTCATATTTTAGAGCAGGTTGGGGGGAATTTGATTTCAGAAGAGAGCAAGATTTCAACAAGGTCCGAATGTGTGGCTGACACTTGGAAACATTCAAGGTTAAATTGCAGAAAAGCAAAATGTTTTAACAGCATTTGCTGCGGTGTTTCTTTTTTAAAAAAACAACAAAATAGTACACCAACACTTTCAATACAAATGTCTCCCTCAGATACTGTACATTTCTTTATTTTTAAACCGATGATTTTGTGGCTTCAGCACAATGGCGGATCAAGTTGTAGAACCAAGGGTTTAATGTCACATACTCTGAAATAAAAGGGGTAATAACCTATTCCCATGCTGCCTAAATATGAGACAGGTCTATCAATAACTAAGCCACAATAGCTTAGCGGAATCCCCACAGATAAAGTTTACTTCTGAAGACTAGTTGCTGGATACCGCAAGTGGGAGAAGGCTGTTTCCTTCAGGGCCCAGTTCTGTACTTCCCAGAAGCATTAGGCTGACCACTGTTCAAAACAGGATGCTGACTTAGAACCACTGATAGGTGCATTTGAAGGTAAGCTCCCAGCGCCATTCAGCTGATTGGACTACAGTACTGCAATGTGCTCTACGTGGGGCTACCTTTGAAGGTGACCCAGAAACTACAATTAATCCAGAATGCGACAGGTAGACTGGTAACTGGGAGCGGATGCCGAGACCATCTAATACCAGTCCTGAAAGACCTACATTGACTCCCAGCAACCCCATAGTCACCTTTGACTGGACATAACTGTCCAGAGGTCCTTTACCCCCCTCTCTCTGTCTCTGCGTATTTTTATTTCATCATACCATAGAAAATCTGATAATTAAAAAAAAAAGAATGAAGCCGAAAGGAGAGAGCACAGACTGATATTTTGATGATGATAAAAAAGACAACGAAGAACACACTTTTATGAAAACATTCCATGACATTGAGGCTTGAAAAAGACCTGCTTTCCTGATCATCAGGCATTTGTTTCCTTGCTTTCTTGCTTAGTGCTTTTTTTGTTTAGCTGAATGTCCAAATTTCTCAGTTGCTTCAGGAACCCTTGATTGGGGAAAATCCACCGATGTTCTTTCACTGCCTGAATGGCTTTCAGCAAAGAGAAGTGATGGTAAATCATGAGGTATGCCAGCACCAATGAAGACGACCGGCTTATCCCCACAGCGCAGTGCACGAAGATTTTAGCTGCAAATGAAGAAAACTTGTTGTTTTTTAAAGCATCTTTAAGATAATTCAAATGTTTCCTAAACAAGTACTTTTAACAATTGTTACATCTAATCCCAGCAGATACATTAATACTGTATAAATTTAGTCTCCAATCAGGGAGCTTATTCTCATTTATACCTAAATTGTGGGGCTCTACACAGCTTGTGTGAAATTTTGGTTAATTGAGATCTTCTTGGGCTTAATCCACACTCGCAAAACAAAAACACAAGGTAAAACACAGGTGAATTCCTTCAAAATATGGTTTCATTTGGTGGTGTCTATAAACAGGCAAAACCTCTTTCTTTTTTCTCTCATTTATTGCACAATGTAAACTGTGTTTTATACCCCATTTATAATTTTATCATTGTACCCATTTCATTCGCTCCCTGATTTGTTATGTTTCTTTTGACTTTATTATCAAAAGCTCCTTGTGTCAAATTTTTATTAGCCTGTTACTGTTTGTTCGTTTTCTCTGTGTGTATTGTTGGTTTTTCTTATTCAATTTTTTTAAATAAAAAAACCCACAAAACTGGCATGGTGAACAGGTTGCAATCATTACCCCACTTACCTGGGCATAACCAGCATTGAATTCACTTACTTACTACTGGGTAAAATTGGTTAGGATTGGAGCCCAGGCTGCCTCCTTCCAGCACTGTAGCCATAATCTCATTTGGGAGTCCTATGAGCTGGGAGAATCAATTGGATAGTACTGTTGCAATTGATGAAATGAAGGGGGTCTTGAATGGGGTAACTGTGCCCCTGAAGGACCAGGTGCACAGCTTGGGAGTCATTTTGGACTCACAGCTGTCCATGGAGGTGCAGGTCAATTCTGTGTCCAGGGCAGGTATCTACCAGCTCCATCTGGTATGCAAGCTTACCTGCCCGCAGACTGTCTCACTAGAGTGGTGCATGCTCTGGTTGTCTCCTGCTTGGACTACTGCAATGTGCTCTACATGGGACTACCTTTGAAGGTGACTCAGAAACTTCAACTAATCCAGAATGCGGCAGCTAGACTGGTGACTGGGAGTGGCCCCTGGGACTACATAAAACCAGTCCTGAAAGGCATACATTGTCTCCCAGTACATTTCTAAGCACCATTCAAAGTGTTGGTCCTGACCTTTAAAGCCCCAAATGGCCTCGGCCCAGTTTACCTGAAGGAGCATCTCTACCCCCATCGTTCAGCCCGGACACTGAGGTCCAGCTCCGAGGGCCTTCTGGCGGTTCCCTCACTGCGAGAAGCAAAGTTATAGGGAACCAGGCAGAGGGCCTTCTTGGTAGTGGCGCTTGCCCTGTGGAATGTCCTCCCATCAGATGTCAAGGAAATAAAGAACTGTGCAACTTTCAGAAGACATCTGAAGGCAGCCCTCTTTAGGGAAGTTTTTAATGTCTGATGTTTTCTTGTATTTTTAATATTTTGTTGGAAGCCACCCAGAGTGGCTGGGGAAACCCAGCCAGATGGGTGGGGTATAAATATTATTATTATTGTTATTATTATTGTATTCTATTTATTGCTCTGGGAGAGTTAAACATGACCTTAAGTATCTGCTATTTAAGTCCATGAGACTATAAAGTACAAACCCAACAGCAACACCAGAGCTGCCAATCCTCCCCTAACTTCCAGCTCTCCAGAAAGAAATAGCAGTGACGTACCAAATTGCCAACACAACATAATATTGACATTTGTGACGAATGTTGCTTCTCTACCTCCTGGTGTGGTCAAGGCTTTGTGTATAAATTCTGCCGCAGGGTAAAAATATGGAGTCATATCAAAATCAGGAAGGTCATCGGCCGGTACACCATAGTATTCAATCGTTGTGCCGTAAAAATCATGGGGTTCGTGGCAAAATATTTTGCCATGTGCAGCATTTAAAACATGGCTAATGCCCATTTTCCATAAACCAAATCTGCTGTGCGCCGTAACACTGAAGAAAAGACAAAACAGAAAGTGAGAGGCAGACAGATACAAGAAGGGTCCTGTTTTCTGTTATGTACTGAAGTTCTCACCCTGGGCCAGCAGGGGGATACTGTAGATAGTTATGCAAATGAAGGATCGAAAGTGACGTTCAGTGATTGGCTAGTTACAGAAAATGGTTACTGTTGCATTCTAGTGGAGCTCTATATAAGCAGGCTGACTGAGCTCCTCAGTTCAGTTCTGTTCCAGCTTACAAATAAAGAGCTGCTTTGGAGAAATCGCTGTGTCGTCTGCTATGTCTACCCACAACTTAACATTTTCCTTTCAGGCTTTCCCCTCTAACTTGTGGTCTGGGTCCTCTCACATTCTATGAAGAAAATAGTGCACGTTAAGGAGCAAAGATTTCAGTAAGATTTAATGAATGAATATTCAGAACATAAGAAGAGCCTGCTGTAATAAGGCACTGGCCCATCTAGTCCAACATGCTGTTCTCACAATGGCCTCTTAGATGTCTGTGGGAAGCCTGAAGCAGGATCTGAGCTCAACTTCATTCCCCCTCCTGTGGTTTCCAGCAACTGTTATTCAGAATCATACTGTCTCAGACTGATGGCACAACACAGTAGCCATTGATAGCTTTCTCCTCCATGAATTTGTCTGATCATCTTCTAAAGCCATTCAAGTTGGATGCCATCACTGCCTCTATCAGCGCAGATTCCAAAATTTAACTTTGTACTGTGTGGCAAAGGGCTTTATTTTGCCTGTCCTCAATATTTGAACATTCAGCTTTGTTGGAAACCCCCATGTTGTGGTGTTAGGAACTGCATCTTTCCCCCCCCCCAGATTAAAATTTTACAGTCCAACATACAACATAAAAACAAGATTCCAAGGAATCTCTTGGACTTCTGTCCTCTGCTTTGTGGGTCTTGTTATTAATCATTTCCTCCTGCATATTTTATGATAGTCCAAATTTGTTTACCTCTCCATTGTGTCCAAAATTCACCATTAAAATACAAGTGGTATTCCAATCCTACGTTAGGCACTGAATCATGGCACATCCATGGACTTGGGAGCAACTGTGGTGTCAGGTTTAGGGTTCCGGTAGCCTGACCGGAAATGTGACAGATAATTGGTTACTGGGAATGAATAAACAAGTCTAGATGTGTGTTTACACTGGAATCAGAGCTAGACAATTAAAGCAACCGAAACAGTCAGGCAAAGGTAATGAGAAGTCACAAGGGAGGACTAGGTCACTCTGAAGGGGACGGAAGCCACACTGACTGAACTCTTTCGCCTGTTTCATATACCAACTGCATGGCCTTCAGCCATGTATCACCACAACTGTGAGAGCTAGAAATTGCTTTTGTTTAAAAAGGAATACGTGGTGGGAAGAAAGGTGATGCACTGAAGAATCCAACATTTTGTTCCAGATTCTGTGTGGCATTCTGAATGCACATGAAATAAAATACATAAATTGCTTACGGCTGCGTAACAATTAATTGCAAGACTGTTTTCTCAAAGAAGCCAGGATGATGTGCAATCCTACCACCGGTTATGTGTCAGAATGCCCCATTGGTTTAAATAAGGTATAGTCATGCATAACAAGGTACTGGACCCAACCAGATCACAGAACGACACATTCCTTGGAAGGGGCATTGACTTGGCTGCAGTAGTTACGTTGGCGGAGCTCTTAAGCACTGCCAAAAAAATGCTGAGCTGTTCCACAGAGATATACTTACTGGTCTCCTAAGAAAAGGTTAGGCCATACTTCATCAACATGGTTACAGGAAGACCTCCCAGAATTCAGGAGCTGTTCTAGATCTTTAAGAGTGGGGGTCTCAGCTGTGGATGTTCCAGAACACTCAGGGTCTTTGGAGAGGAAGACACACTCTTCAGCCATCCTTATTAAAGTAGCAACTGTTCCCTCTGAAACCTGAGAAAGTGGTCCAGGCTTGCTTGTTTAATGCGCTCTTTTAGCCTGTGTGCTTGTCATTTTGAATTTATTGGACAGGTGCTGGGCTGCAGCAAAGCATGCAACCTGTTAAATCAAAGCTTGGAAAGGAGGTGCCATTTTTGCACACCCTGAAGGCAAACGGGCATTCAGCAATGGTCATTGTAGCTGAAAGGCAAAGTCTGCTGAACAGAAGAGGAAATACACAGGAGCATGACTTCTGCCAGAGATGATCTCTCCAGTCTCATGCGTTCTCTTGCACAGGAGCTATTAATTCCCTCTCAAGCAAGCACTCTTCATTCAGACATTATTGCCATGGATTGCACAGGCATTTTTCCCCCAGGGTTCTTTTCTCTGGACCCCTGGCTGCCACGTTGAGCAGCAGCGCGAGAAAAGATGTTGCAAGCCTTAGGTGGGCTTTACAGAGGATAAGATGGAGCTTTTTTTTTCTTTTTGCAAAGGGCGATATTCAGAAGAAGAGGAGGAGGAGGAAGGAAGGAATATTCAGAACCTAAGAAGAGGTTGCTGGAATAAGCCAGGGGCCCATCTAGTCTAACACCCTGTCCTGAGATCATCTGTCTGATCATCTTCTAAAGCCATTCGAGTTGGATGCCGTCACTGCCTCTATTAGCGCAGATTCCAAAATTTAACTTTGTACTGTGTGGCGAAAGGCTTTATTTTGCCTGTCCTCAATATCTGAACATTCAGCTTTGTTGGAAACCCCCATGTTGTAGTGTTAGGCACTGAATCTTATTTATTTATTTTTTATTTATTTTGTTTTTCAGATTTAAATTTTACAGTCCAACATACAACATAAAATAAAAACATGTGTTTTTTTGATAATAATTGTTATTAGTTTTCAGTTATATTCCTATAATAGCCTCGTTATTGTAGCCTTATGAGGCTTTGCCCTCGGGTGGGAAAAATATTGCGCCTGGGAAAGGGAAGTGGGAGTCAACAGACACTCAAGGAATAGTTTCGGAGAAAAGGCTTTTATCTCTACCATCCATGAACTGGTAGAAGGAGCAAGTGTGATAAGTCACAAAAAGCATGCACGAGTTCACAATCATGTGCACAAGCATATATACCCATTCCAGATCCCTCCTCCTTTCTCCTCCTTTTCCCAGAGTCCTGCCCCATGTTGAGGTTCCTGAGCATGTACAGAAAGCTGTATTGGGACTATTGTGGACTCTTGGCAGGAAAGGGGGTGAGGGGGTTTCAGTGTGTTCAGATATGTTTCAATCTCTTGTTCTGGCATGGTTCCCGGAGAGAAAGCAAGTTGCAATGTGGTTCTGAGAAAGGCCTGAGAAAACAATGGGCTCTGTTCTCTACCTTGTTGCAATCTTTTTAGTTACAGCAAGCGGAATGTTTCTGATGCTTAGCTGCTGAGAAAATGATTTTGAAAAGCTTTGAGAAGCTTTGAGCCTGCTTGGGTGGGGGGTGACTTCGGGCCTAGGTGAGGTCACCTGTCCTCACCTTCCTTCTGTTGGAAACCCTCATGTTGTAGTGTTAGGCACTGAATCTTCTTTATTTATTTTTTATTTATTTTGTTTTTCAGATTTAAATTTTACAGTCCAACATACAACATAAAATAAAAACACGTTATTTTTTGATAATAATTGTTATTAGTTTTCAGTTATATTCCAATAATAGCCTCGTTATAACAATACCAACTTATAATAACATTACTAAAACCAATCATTCAAATACTAAATTATATCATTTAGGTGGCCACCCACGTGCAAGAATTGATGACTGATTTTATTTTCTGCATTCCAAAATCTTACTAATTTCCATTACATTCTGGTCATCATCACAATACCTTTAAACAACAACTGCAATAGTAATAACTTCCATTTGTGTTGTCACATTAAATGATTTATAGAACTACTAGTGAGGCATTCAAACTATATCCTCGTTCTTCCTGTGTGGGGCAATTAATTCTGTCCAAGGTGTTTCTTCCTGTCCTTGTAAAATGTCATCTCTACCTTTTCCTAGTTGTTGCTGTTATTCATCATGCCTTGGGTATCCCGTGCTGAGATTTAATGCTAAGATCTTCAGAAATATGCATTGCATCACACGAATTATGACAGCTAGGAAGTGGAAGGAGCAAGCAGAATATAAAATGGAAGAATGGGATAAAGAGGTGCAGGATATACAGTAGCTATTAATGATAAATTAACACGTGCTATTAAGGTAAGCTGGAGAACAGTGGCGTAGCGTGGGGGGTGCAGGGGGGGCCGGCCGCACCGGCCGCAACATCGGGGGGGGGGGCGCGCTCACACTCGCAATCTAGTGGAAGAGACTCGAGTGCTAAAATCCACGGGTTAGGGGGTGCAAATTACTTGCCTTGCCCCGGGTGCTGACAACCCACGCTACGCCACTGCTGGGGAATATGCAGGAGAAATGATTTTGAGGAGATCTGGAAGGTGTTTGTAGAATTTGTACTGTTAAAACGGAAAGCGGGTAAAACCATCGCAAGAGGCATTGAAATTTTGGGAGGCTGGATAGTTACAATGGAATGGGGCGGGGGGCACATTTTTATTCTCAATTATTTATGATTATTACTTTGTCAAAATAAAATAATAATAAAAAGAAAACAAATTTAAAAAGGGGCAAGCGGAATATAAAATGGAAAAATTCTATAAAGAGGTGTGGGATATAGCTATTAATGATAAATTGACATGTGCCATTAAGGTAAGAGGGGGAATATGCAGGAGAAATTATATGGAGGAGATATGGAGGGTGTTTGTCGAATTTGTACTGTTAAAACGGAAAGGGGGTCAAACCATCGCAAGAGGTCTTGATATTTTGGGAGCTTGGATGGTTACAATGGAATGGTCACATTTTTATTCTTATGTATTTATAATTATTACTTTGTCAATAAGGAAAACAAATACCAAAATAGATGCATTGCACCAGACTGCTGATTATTTGCTTTAAGCCAAGCATATGTACTATTTACAGGCTGCGCGCGAATCCTCCGCGCGCAGGCGAGGCGGGAGGGTGACGTGGGCGTGGCCGCGCCGGCCCCGCCCGCTTCCGCTTGCCGTCTCGCCCCCTTGTTTGTTTGTTTTTCTTGCGGAAGCTGCGTCAGTGCCTGGCCCCGCCTTTTCCGCTACGTGGCCGCGCCCGGTTGGTGAGTGGGTGGGTCGGTTGCCTGGCAGGGTCGAGCTGCTCCGCCGTCGCTGCCGCCGCAGCCTCCCAGCCGCCTCAGTCCCAGCGGCGACCCCTCCGTGCCATGGCGAAGGCGCACCGGCGGCGGCAGAAGAAGAAGAAGCAGCAGCAGCGAAGCCCTCGGCCTCTCCCTGCCGACACGTAGCGGGGCCGCGTCGCCCGGCGAGGAGGGAGCGGGTAGGTTCCGGCTGGCTCGGCCCCGCCGCCAAGGCGCTTGCGTGGGGAGTTTCGGCTTCTGAGGGGTGTGTGAAGAAGGGGAGGCGGCGGAGGCGGGTTTCGTTCGTTGGCTGGCCGGCCGGCCGGCTCTGCCTTTAGCAACGGCTGCTGTGTGGAGCCGAAGGGAGCTTCCACAGCCGGGAGCAGTCTACCCTTCGCAGGCTCAGCTGCTGCTTCTCCCGAGGGAGCCGAAGAAATGGGGGGTGGCGGGTTCTAGCTATCGGGGCGCGGGCTTTCCCGTTTCGAAGAATTTTATATTTTGAAGGGTGCTATCGTTTCTGCAAGAAACGAAGTTAGAAATTTAATTATTGAGGCTTACAAATAGGTAGCCTTGCCTAAGGGTGCAAAATAGCCAAAGGGTGCAAAGTAGCCTGGTCTCAGGGTTCAAATTAGCCTGCTAGCTTATTTTTTTAGTTGTTTTGTTAATATTGTTAACATAGATGGTGGTTGTTTTATTTGGGGTTTGGAGTTGTTTTACCGCTGATTTGTTAAGTATTCTATACCATTTATGCTGTACAGTATTCGTGAAGTTCCTTTATGTTATTTTTATCTTATAGTATTTGTAAGCCGCTTTGGGATTTGAATAAAAAGTGGCATGGAAGTAGAATCAATCAAAATAACATTGTTTAAGGGTGCAAAACGGCCTGGTCTAAGAGCGCAAAGTAGCCTGCTCTAAGGCTGCAAAATAGGCTAGTTTAGGGGTGCAAAACAGCCCTGCTCCAGCACTTGGTGGGGGTGGTTATCTCTGCCTTGCTTGTGAGCTTCCTGGGGTATTCCGGACACAAGATGGGTAGGCCGGATGACACTTTATTATTTTTATTTATTTATTTTCATTTGTTGAATTTATATACCGCCCTATACCCGGAGGTCTCGGGGCGGTTCACATAATAAAATTAGAATATAAAACCACAGAATGCATAATTGGAAACAAAGCAACAACAATAACCCAATAACACAACCCCCCCCCAAAAAAAACCCACCCCAAGCTTTAAAAGTCTAATCCAGCAGGGTTGTTTTTCATAAAAAATTTTTGCAGAAGGCGCAGCTTTAAATTGCTCGCTGAAGAGCCCTGTCCTCTGGAAAGCAGCCTTTCCAGGGCTGCCAGGTTGATGTGATCTTTTACCTACCCAAACTTAAATGTTCAACATGCTGTTTCACAACATGTGCTCTAGCTGTTGCATTTTGTACTCTACAACAGCATGTACTGTATTGGTATTTGAAGTTTAGTAGGTTTGGGACAAACTTCATGTTGCAGGAATCTTTTAAACTGCAGTTGCAGAGGCAATCAGAGTTGGGGTGGCAGAGAATATGAAGGGGTTTTACCCTTTTGCTTTAAACCAGGCTCTAGAGGAAAATTGCCTTCCAGCTACTATTTGGCATGGGAGGAGAGCTGCTAGTAGTGCCAGCAATCAATATTGTAGCTTATTGGAGTATTTTCATAAGCTGTAAAAGCTTTTGTTCTGTGTTCTCAGGCTGCTGTAAAGGGAGGTGGTGAAAGGGCTTTAAAATAATTAGAATAACACGGCTGCAGCCTGCAGGTGAGTCCTGCCATCTTCTCTGTAAGGAAGTCTTGCTGTGTCCTGGGACAACTCCTAACTAATGTGAGGGTTTATGGAACAATACTGTATGTGCATTATACTTCACTGCACAAGTTGATCTTGCAAGTATTCCACTTTTCATTAAGAGAGATAAAGTATTGTGTAAAAGTGTTTCCACTTTTCCTCAATGTAATTTTCCCCCATTAAAAAAAAGGGGGAAACCATTTCCCCCTCATTCTTCATATCTCATTCCTGCAGGAGAGATCAAATTGCAAGATCATATCCATACTGCTTTAGTTGGTGTCACATCTCTGTTTTTTTGTTTTTATTGATGCCCAGTAATTTTTTAGTAGCAATACTAGTAAATGCCTTTCCAATAACTTTGTTAGCTTTCTGAGTTTGTATACTTTTATGTGCTGGGGAACACTCTAGAATTACTTGAAAAGTAAGCATGTATTTTTCCAAGTTACGTTGTTGTGTGTCTACCAAACAGGTGGCAGAAGCTTTAAAGGTAAAGGGACCCCTGACCATTAGGTCCAGTCGTGACCGACTCTGGGGTTGCAGCGCTCATCTCGCTTTATTGGCCGAGGGAGCTGGCGTACAGCTTCCGGGTCATGTGGCCAGCATGACTAAGCCGCTTCCGGCGAACCAGAGCAGCGCACGGAAACGCCGTTTACCTTCCCGCCGGAGCGGTACCTATTTATCTACTTGCACTTTGCCGTGCTTTCGAACTGCTAGGTTGGCAGGAGCAGGGACCGAGCAACAGGAGCTCAACCCGCCGCGGGATTCGAACTGCCGACCTTCTGATCGGCAAGTCCTAGGCTCTGTGGTTTAACCCACAGCGCCACCCGCGTCCCTGACAGAAGCTTTGGGTTACTATAACAACAACAACAACAACAATTTATTATTTGTACCCCGCCCATCCGGCTGGGTTTCCCCAGCCACTCTGGGCGGCTTCCATAGAAACCAAAAATACACTAAAATATCACAGATTAAAAACTTCCCTGCCTTAAGATGTCTTCTGAATGTCAGGTAGTTACTTATCGCTTTGCCATCTGATGGGAGGGCGTTCCACAGGGCGGGTGCCACCACCGAGAAGGCCCTCTGCCTGGTTCCCTGTAGCTTTGCTTCTCGCAATGAGGGAACCGCCAGAAGGCCCTCGGCGCTGGACCTCAGCGTCCGGGCAGAACGATGGGGGTGTAGACGCTCCTTCAGGTATACTGGGCCGAGGCCGTTTAGGGCTTTAAAGGTCAACACCAGCACTTTGAATTGTGCTCGGAAACGTACTGGGAGCCAATGTAGGTCTTTCTATAAATTTCCTTTAGATGCCTTTTGCATTACTTGGAACTGTTGTAGTTTGTTCTTCAGGTTTGCTGAGTTAACCTTTATTCCTCTCTTCAGATTTCCTGCAAGGCTGGTGCCAATGTAAGGAAAACTTCTGGCAGCTTGCTTAGCAGAGAATCGAGGATGCATTCCCAGCTTTTTTTCCTGTTGTGTGAAATGAGGAAAGATCATGCAGTTCTGCTTGCTCTAGTCTAGTGTATATCTGCCTTTCTGTTGAGCTGATTCAGCCTGTGAATCATTGCCATATATTATTCAGTAGATCTGTAGGACGCTGATGATTAAAGCACAGCTATTACTTAAAAGTTGTTTTTTTGTTTTTTCCCTTTGTAGAGTAGGGGAATGTATTGAGGATGTTGCTGCTTATCAATATCACATTCTTTGGTAATGTATAGATTGCATTATGCCACTCATTCACACTCGTAAAACATTTAACATTTAGAATGTAAACTTAGATTGTCATTACAACAGTCAGCAGTTCTAAGATCAATTTTCATTGAAATATGTGTGTCTTCCTGGAGTAAGTAAACACATTGGCACTTGTCGTGAGGACCAGGAAGGCAAAGAAGTATGGAAGCTTCTACATACTTAGCCCTTGGAGTAGCATTGGTTAGTGAACTGCATGAAAATGACATACTCTATGAAACGCACAAACATTTATGTACATTTGGACAAGTGGCTTTTCATATACTGTATACCCAAGTAGACATTTATTATGGACATTAACTTGTCGTGTCTTTTGTTTGACCTGGCCCTTAATGTTTCTTAATCCTTCAACTTGCTTGCAGTTATTTTGCTTGTTAAATGGTGGTCCTCTGTTAATATAAGGTCATGGGAGTAATTCAGCTATCTAGAGTTGGCATATTACTGCTTCAAACGGGTGTGAGAAATCAAATAGTATCATTAACTTTGAGATATTGGAGGAATCGAGCTTTGTTTCCCTGCCAAGGATTTCTGTGTATTGTGCAGCATTCCCACTTTTTTATCAGCTGGATGTGAAAAGTTTTGAAATTTAGCTTCAGGTGTGAACATGCTCTCTTTCTACAGTATATTGGCAAGCTCTCCCTCTGCAGGAGGCTCAATATCTTCTTTCTCTTGAAAGCCATGTCGGATTGGATATCTTGGTAACTAAATATAAAAGAATGATCAGTGTAACCAGCCAGTGAAGACACACAATCCAGTTTTATAGCACAGTATGTACTTTTTAACTGACCTGGAAATTCAGGTATAATTTGTGTTATTTATATCTATCTAATTAAAACAAAGCTAGCCTTGTAACATCACTGTTAATAAAAGAAATTTAAATAAGTAGACAAGCAAAATACCCAAAGCAGCAGTCATGTACCCATTGCAAATGGCCTGGACCATGCTGAATAAGGTTAAAAGCCATAGGTTGCCACCGACATATATCAGTGCAGTTGTTACAGAGTTGGTTGAAATTCTTATATAGGTGCAGTTAACTTAATACAGTAGGTGTTGCATAAATTATTCCGTCTTGCTTAGAATGTGAATAGCAAGTGGCTATGACAGTTATTTAAGAACCAGACCCAGTGTAATAACTTGGGTGGGTGGTCTCTCAGTACTCACATCCCTTCTGTATTTTGTAAAAGTAGGGGTATTTATTCCTTCCATAACTCTAGTCCAGCTCTCTATATGTTCTGGCAGTGTATATATATTAATGAGTCTTTGTACTTTGCTGTAGTTGGCTAAACTTTCTAGTTGTAGAACCAATTTACATACTGATTTTTAGTCAGGCACGGGGTTGGAATTTCAGGAAGTGTACTGGATGAATTGGAAACAAGAAGCATTTTGGAAGGAACCTTTCCTGGGTTGTAGCTGTTACATGTCTACTGCATATTTGAAATGATTATAATTGGTAGCCTTACTGCTAGACGTGATTAGTCCCAAATGATGACTAAGCTTGGTAGATACCGTCTCTGATACTGTAATCCAGTTTTAATTATTAGAAACCAAAACGCGATAAAAATTCTTTGGAACTGTTTGCAGTTTCTTCTGTCTGATAGCTGGGGCATCACATACCTTTACAGGAGCTAAAACTCACCAATACATGATAAGTAGAAAACATTTGTGCCTGTCTTCCTTTGGCTTTTTTTCTTTTGATTGTCTCTTTGCTCCTGTGCTTTGTGTCAAGTGTAGTTATGAAGATCATTTTGGGAAAGGTGGGCCATGTATTGCTTGAAATAGCAGGGCAGGATGCCTACTCCCCAGAAAATTTATTTGAAAGAGCAAGCCGTGGTATTTATCTAAGTAGCCAATATGAATACCACAGTGTTTCTTCTGATGTCTGTCTAGATGTAGTTGGTTCTACTTTGAGGTACTGGCTTAACCCTTTGTAGAACCCAGCAAGTAAAACTTGTTTGCAGGTGTCACCAACATGGTTTCAGCAGGTCCACACCTACCTGCAGAGTGCTTCCCTGGCATCCACAGAGTCCTTTTCCCTCACTGAAATTAGGCTTAGAAGAAGCATTCTGTAGAGCAGGCTATGGTGTAGGCTTGGTCACATGTATTTCCCATGTTTCTCTGGTTTGCAACCAGTGTTCAAAGCTCCCCTTGTTTTGGCGCATTTTGTGACGGGGAATTTCACTAGCGTGAGCAGTTTCTGAACTCTGGGCGCAGTACTGCGCCTATGATTTCTAATTAAAACTGCAGTGGAGGGAAAGGAGGACCTTTTTTCTGCCTCCCCACTTCCAGCTACACTCTGAAGACCCTCTTAAGAATATTGGGGGTGGGCAGGAGAAGGACTAGACCATGTGAAAAATGAACATAATATTTTAGCTGCCGTTCATTCATTTTCAGCTTTGTATTCTTATTAAAAAAGCGTGCCTAGACATTCTATTTCTGCGCCCATAACCTAGACTTAAGGTGCCATTTAGCTCCTAGCTTTCATATCTCGGTTTCTAACACTGTTCGCAACTGCTCATGGGCCTAAGAGCAGGAGTTTCCCTCGTTTATTGTAATGTCTCTGGTTTACAGTACAGATTGACATACTGTTGTGTTTGTTTCCTCTGGAACAGGATGAAATATTTGTTAACCGTTCCCTAAACAAGATTTGTAATATGCTTTGGGTGCATGTACTTGTAGAAATGTAGGGTAAAAATTAAACAGCAAAGCCCTGGTATAGAGCTACTGATGAAAAATTATCTGGGAAGTCCATTGAGAGAGCATGATTTCTTCAGTCATTTGACCCTCCCACCTTTCCAATGTTTGGAATTCACGGTGGACTTACTCCCAAGTACAAGACTTATCACATGTGACCTTTGATGTATGAGTGTATGTATGCTTGATCAGCATTGTGAGTGACTCACACTGTGTGAAAATTGAAGGATGGTGCTCTTTTTCCTGCTTTGCCAAGCAAAGAATCTGTTGTCTGACATCTCTTCTAAAGGAGTCCTAATTGAAGCATTTGAGCATCAAGAGCATTTCTTTGGTCAACCCTTTAGGTATCTGTCTTCTGATTTTTTCTGAAAAATCTTGAGAATAATCTTCTGGTGAGTCTGTATTTTATTTTTCTCTGAACCTTTTGTCTGCTTTGGTTGGCGTAAGGATTAGGATACAGTGGTACCTCCGGTTATGAACGTAATTGGTTCCGGAGGTATGTTCTTAACCTGAAACCATTCTTAACCTGAAGTGTTCTTTCACTAACGGGGTCTCCCGCTGCCGCCGGCGGTCAATTTCCGTTCTCATCCCGGGGCAAAGTTCGCAACCCGAGGTACTACTTCCGGGTTAGCGGAGTTTGTAACCCAAAGTGTTTGTAACCTGAGGTACCACTGTATTTTTACAATCAGTTTTCTCTGTGTTCAGGCAAGAAAATGTTGAAACTCAATTTGCAATGTCAGTAGAAAATGACAAATAGATTCTTGATTAAGTGAAACACGAATGTATTGAATCTGCCCGACAGAGTGAGCTCCTGTTGCTGTGTCCCAGCTCCTGTCAGCAGTTCAAAAGCATACCAGTGTGAGTAGATAAACAGGTACAGCTGCGGTGGGAAGGTAAACAGTGTTTCTGTGCACTCTGGCACTCGTCACAGTGTCCTGTTGCGCCAGAAGCAGTTTACTCATGCTGGCCACATGACCCAGAAAGCTGTCTGCGGACAAACGCCGGCTACCTCCTCCTGAAGCAAGATGAGCGCTGCTCCCCATAGTAGCCTTTGACTGGACTTAACTGTCCAGTGGTCCTTTGGCTTTTTTTACCTTTACATGAATGTGCAAGTGATCTTCTGAAGGCTTGAGATTGTGGAGTTTTTGTTTTGTTGTAATTGTTCTTTTAAGTAAGTAAGTAAGTTTCTTAAGTAAGAATCTACAGATTTCTGTCCTGCCCTTAGCACCATCTAAGTTTTCATGGCAGTTTATTGTCACTGCAGGGACAAGTTTCCACATGCAGATCATCCACACTAAAAAAGAAACAGACCTTACGCTGGTGCTGCCCATGAAAGTTCATTCTCTTGAACTTAGAGCAGTGTTCAAAACTCCCATTATTCCAGGCGCATTTTGCAACAGGGAATTTCATTAGCGTGAGCAGTTTCTGAGCTCTGGGCGCAGTACTTCACCTAAGATTTCAGATTAAAACTGCAGAGTGGAAGGAAAGGAGGACCTTTTTTCTGCCTCCCCACTTCCAGCTACTCTCTGAAGACTGGAGAAGAGACCCTCTTAAGAATATTGGGGGGTGGGCAGGAGAAGGACTAGACCTCGTGAAAAATGAACATAATATTTTCACTGCAATTCATTCATTTTCAGCTCTTTCATTTTATTCTTGTTATTAAAAAAAATGCGCCTGGACATTCCGTTGTTGCTCCCATAACCTAGGTTCAAAGTGCCATTTAGTGCCTGGCTTTCGTATCTAAATTTCTAACACTGACTTGGAGACGTTGCTGTAAAAATGGCACGTATTTTCCTAATAGTTAACAGACACTGAAGCCAGAATCAGGGTATACACAGGCTTGCGCTATCTCAGAAATGGCTGCGCTTAGTTTTCTATCCTACCACCATGGCTTTCCAATTCTTTTGACGCTTTTTCTTGTTTTTGCTTTTTTCTTATGTATTTTGTGTTCTAATTTTCTATTTTTCTGTTGTGACCCATCCTGTGATCTTCAGATGAAGCCTATACAAATTTTCTAATTAATAATAATAGCAATAGTAATACTACAGAACTATTAGAGATGGGGTGGGTAGAAAAGAAAGAAAGAGATGCTGTCTGGAAAGGCAAAACACGGCACAGCAGAGGACCTCCTAGTTGGAGACGTGCCGTTCGTCCATAGTGAGGAAAGGGCACATCTCTTTTTAATGGCCTGCATTGCCTCACATGGTCAACTTCCTCAGTGAAGCCAGGGATCAGAATGAGTTGAGTTTGACACTTTTACGTAATATATCTGTTTCAGAAATAACTACTTGCTCAAGATGAGTAATAATTGTCCTGTGACTAATTGGCCGGGAAAGTTCCTTTCAAGTGGGAGTCAGGGAAATACAGTTCTTCCACGTCATCAGTATGCCACCCATTGTTAAAAAAGGTGTGGGTGGCTGGACAGGCCAGAAAAAATGCTTTTGTAGGCTAGTACATTGATTTGGAATACAGTTTGTCCTTCCCAAGCAGACAGTAGTCACCAGTTGGGAAGCACTAGGTCTCTGGGCTGTAAAAATTAAATCTGAAAAGGGTATTCAGGCGCAGCTGAATACAATGTAATTTTGTTACTTCGTAGGAAAGTCTGTCTGAAGTACATTTTAAAGTTATATCCCAGAACATTGAGAACTTGGTGCTATAATGATGTGGGCACTGTCTTCTCGGTCTTTAAAACATCTGATTTTTGGCAGGTAGAGAAGATGGAAGGCAACAGCCAGCTTTGCATTCAGCGTTGGTCTACCAGGCATGTAGCCAAATGGCTGAAGGAAGAAGGCTTCTGTGAGTATGTGGACATTTTGTGTGACAAGCACAGATTAGATGGAATTACATTACTGACGCTGACTGAATACGACTTGAGGTCTCCTCCTCTGGAAATCAAGGTTCTAGGTGATATCAAGCGGCTCATGTTGTCAATTCGCAAGTTACAGAAGCACCACATTGAAGTTTTGGAAGAGCTTGGTTATAACAGTGATAGTCCCATTGGTTCCCTGTCACCTGTGATTGGCTCCCTTCAAGGAACAGACTGGCTTTGCAATGGCGAGGTTCAACGGGATTGTGATGACTGTGAGCCTGTTGCCGATTTGAACCCTGATCAGTATGCAAATGGAAAAAACAAACATCCTACGCGAAGACTGAACCCAGAGTATTGGAAGACAGCTTTGAGTTGTATATATGTTTTTATTGTGTTTGGCTTCACATCATTTGTCATGGTTATCGTGCACGAGAGAGTTCCTGACATGCAGACATACCCACCACTACCAGACATATTCCTAGACAGGTAAGTGCTTTAACCTGCTTAGGAAAAAGTGCTAAAAATCAGAATTGCTAAACTGTTGAGGCCAAACTAGGTGTTTTGCAGAATTTTGTGTTGCTTCTCCCATTCTTAATTTTTTTTTTAAAGAGATGTTTATTAAGCATTTTAAAATTACAAAAAACATAAAAAGAAAACCCAATAAAAATTAACAGACATACATTACAGTACATCTAAAATAAAGAAAAAAAACATAAACAGCAAAAAGAGAAAAAAAACCAACAACATTAAAACACATCCAATATTTCATAACTTTACCTTTCATTTACTTATTTCCTCGACCTTCTCACACCTCCCTTTTTGTATTCTAGTTCAATTTACTATTTCAGCAAATTCTTTCCATCTTTCTCAATTTTTGTTCTATAATTTACCTTAACCCAATCTGACTTTAAATTTTACACTTTGGCCCTGTTAACAATCCATTTTTACTTTATTCTTTATAACATTTCTGCTAAAACCATGTAACTTCATTCCAGCATCCTTCTAACATTCATTAATTTTACTATATTTTTGTAAATATACTTTGATTTTTTTCCAATCTTCTTCCACCGACTCTTTTCCCTGGTCTCGGATTCTGCCAGTCATTTCCGCCAGTTCCATGTAGTCCATCAGCTTCATCTGCCATTCCTCCCTGGTGGGTAGATCTTGTGTCTTCCCATTCTTAATTTTTTAAAAAATATATCTTTATTTTGCAAAATAAGAATTTATAAAATAATTCTAGGTTTTTTTTTCTTTTTCATGAAAGTATGTGCTGTCAGCACCTTTATGGCAACCCCCACCACCTTTGGGGAATTCATTGACCAGCTCTTTCCCACTGTTTTGTGAAAATGCCTCAAGGTCTACGCAAATCCATGAAATGTGGGAAATGGCTAGATCACAACATCTGCACTGCTTTTCCTCTCCCTGGATTCAGGGGCTCATAGTGGACTTGTCCCCAGTTCTTTGAGCATGCAGTGGCTAGCCATGATGCCTGATGTAACTGTCTGTGGCCTGATTTGCACATCATGATAAGCCACAGTTCGTCTTAAAAGAATGGTTTAATTAAATGAGAACATGCCTTGGCCTTGCACCCACAACACCCTCCAGACTCAGACCCAGTCACTGAAGCTGTACTATGGTTTATTGTTTCACCTGAACCCATAGCATGGTTTGTTGGCTTGTTTCAGAGAAGCCATGAAAGGTAAGCAACAAATAAACCAAAGTTTGCCCTTGCTTTATTTCTGTCTTATCATGTGTGGCTTGTCTGAAACAAAGAAACCACCGTCCATTTTAAGATTACACCGCAAGAAGAAGAAAGTGGAGTTTTCCAAAACAATTTTATAAATGCCTCCAAAACACTGAGCTGCCCTACAGCAGTGATCTCAAGAGCTGCTGGGAAATCTTATGCATTTTCCTGCTGGGAGGGAAGAATGCAATCTGTCAGCAACAGTCCTTGGTCCTCTTAACTGGTGGTTGGGGTGAAATTGTCCTTTCTGTAGACATGGCGCATTATTATTGACTTTCGGTCAAGAAATGTAACATTTACAAAATTTGATACTAAATGCAGGCATTGTTTGTTTTAAGAACTGCTTTTAAAAAAAATCCCTGCAGGGAGCAAAAAGAGAAACTATTGAATGCTAGATATTGTTTTAGAATAGAATTACTGTCATCAGGGCACCAAGGAAGGATTCAGAGTAGGAACAGTAATCAGGAAAACAAGGTCAGACGATTACAATAGTCGTCTTAGTGACTGGCCTTTGTTATTACCCTTTTAGCAGCAAAGGCATGTGACTGCAGAATAGCTTCGACTGAAGCAATTGCATATTGTTGTGGTGTTAGAGTGCACATATTCTGTCTCTAAGAAGTATGGGTTGTGGGCAGTGATTGCAGAAGCACTTGAAAACAAGGCTAAAAGGTTAACACATAGACTTCATCGGCCAGCAAAAAAGCCTAAACCATTTGCTGAATAGTAGATGGGATAACAAGAGGGCAAGTGGCTGAATAGAAGAGGAGCTATTATTGCAGATTAGGTCATCAGTAGCTCAGATTTTACGTGTTAAACTTATCTCTTGGCTCTCATTCCTTTGCAATGTTCCTTTTTGTGATCGGAGGATGTTTTCAGTGATGCATTGGTATCTGTTCCATTCTGTGCTTTTTAAAAAGCAATTTTTACGGAAAGGACAGTTAAGAGCATTTTGAAATGTTTACTGGCAGTGTTTGAAAAATTAAGTGTTCTTTTACAGCCCACAGTCACCACGTTGCTTGGGTTTTATCTTAAAGCTTTTCTAGAATGCACAGTCCTTATCTGGGTGTTGTCTTAAAAAAACCTTTTTGTTGTCAATTTACCAGTATTGAAAGGCTGTAGATTTTATCTAGGTAAGTAGTTGTACCTGCTCTTCCTAAGTCCTATGTGGCTGAAGGACAATAAGCTTCACTCTTTATTTGATTTCATCCTGCTAGCAGAAGGCAGAAAGCTTGAGAGGAAGGAACTGGGAGAAGTGGGGGGAGCACCCCACTGCCGAAAGTGTTAAGTGAGCCCCCTCCCCACTTTGTGTCACGCACACTTCTCCAGAGCCTGGCCAAAGTTATCCATGCTCTGGTGACCTCCAGAGTAAGCTGCCATAACACATTACATGCGGGGCTGCCTTTGAAGGCTGATTGGGAACTGCTAATTGGAATTGGCTGCTTAAAGTGGAACAATGGTGCTTCACTGGCTCCTGTTCTGTTTCTGCACACAATTCAGAGTGCTCGTGCTTATCTTTGACATGGCTTGGGATCCGGATATTTGAAGGGTTACTTGTTTCTGTGTGTGTCTGCCCATGCAGATGTCAAGTTTGGCTGCTCTTGTCTGGATGCCCTAGCCGTGGGTGGTAAGGAGGTGGTATCTGAGGGCAGAGCCTCCTCAGTTTTGGCATCCCGCTTGTGGAGTGTTCTCCCTGGGAGCTTTGCCTGGTGCTATTTATCTCCTTCTGATACCAGGCAAAAACTTCCTTGTCTTCTCAGAGTTCAGAACTTGATTCTAGTTTTGTGCTACCGGTGACTTTCTGTTTAGTGGTCCTGTTAGTTGGACCCAGTGATGTTCCGTTTAGTAATTATATTCATAAAAATGAATGAATGTCAATGACAAATACAATATTGAACAAGCTTAGCTGTTTCAAAGCTTAGCTTTTTTCTGAATGGAAGTAAAATACTGTATGTTGGATTGGATCACTTTCTAGGGCATCAAAAAATTTCTGGTGTGAATGGAACATTTCCAATGTAAATTACCTTGTTCACATCAGCATAATATTCATCTTCCTTGGAAAATCCACATTACTATTCAGCTCTTTTTAGATACTTGTCCTCTTGATTTTCTTATTTGTTGTATGCATTCTTAGCCTCCCTGCAAGTATGTGCATTGAAAGGGAAGGTTATCAATTTGTAAAATAAGAGGATGATTGAGTGGTAGAATGAGCTGGTGATGGTCCAGCGTTGAACTGCTGTTAAATGAAGAAACAGGCATGAAATACATTCATTAAATGGTGGACAAAATGTGAAGGACAAGAAGGGAGCGTGTAGAGAAGTAAATGTGCAGAAGAAATGGGCCATAATAGTACAAGGAAAATGTATACTCAGCTTAGAGAAGAAAAGATCTTGCAGGAAAGCACTGAAGTTCAGAAAAGACAGCTGATTTGATTGTGTGATAAAGCATCTTTAGCCCTAGTAAACAGTATTCAGATATAACTGTGGAAAACATAGCTTTCAGGAGCAGGCAAGCTTAGGTAGCTGCTCCATTAAAATGTATGGAAATTTTGATTTTGTAATTTGGCAAAAGAGCATTGAATCGAATTACCTGGCATTTATTGTTATTCTCCTGTTGAAGAGAGTGATTATGCTTAGGATGCAGACATGGAAATTGGAACTGTCAGATATTACTTGCAGACTTTCTCTTTTTGTAGATGCATGGTGTGAATTTATGGTGTCAGGCGAGGTTTCTCCCTCCCTTTCTTCCCCTTCCCCAGCGCTGCGGAGGCCGGCTGTCTCCCAAGGCGGGGCCCCCTCTTGGGTAGGATAGAACAAGGGTGCCTTTGCACTTTTAAGATTACTAGAACAAGCCTCTGCTTTGTCTAGTGATCAAGTTCCAAAAATCTGTTTGTTTCAACAGAGCCAATTTAACCCGTTGATTTTAAGGCTGCAGAAGTTTCAGCAAATGGTTCTGCTGTTTTGCTTCTTGCTGCTTCACTTCCCCCAGTTTTAGAGCAGTAAAGCAAAGCTTAAGAAGGGTAAGATACTAAACTGCAGAAAAACGTGATCTTTCTTGCAAATGCCAAGTTGGTTTGAAACCAATCAGCTATGCTAGAAATTATGCTGAGCGTTTAGGTACATAAACGATAGTTTCAGTTTTAAATCAAATGGGTTTGTTTTGTTTTGTTGGTAAGGTCCTACTTACCCATCGTCTGCATTTATTTTGCCCAGAAATTGCACATGTCAAAGTGGCACATAGCATCTTGATTTTTCTTTCCTCCATTTTTAGTGTTCCTAGGATACCGTGGGCTTTTGCCATGACTGAAGTATGTGGTGTGGTTCTCTGCTACATCTGGCTGCTCGTTCTTCTACTTCACAGACACAGGTATAGTTCAGTTGCCTTTATTTTGGAAATTGCAGACAACCTTGTTTGAAGATCTTGTGTGTATCTGTCGTTGCTGCAGTTCCGGAGAAAAATAGAAAGGGACTTGATTCCTCATGAAGAGGGAATACTAAAGTCCACACCATGCAAACAAGTAGCAGGTGGAATCCATGGCAGCTACTCCACATGTTGAGAGGTTGATGTGCAACAATGGGGACGGTGGTTCCATCACTCCCATAAAACTGTTGAGCAAGTGGATTGGTGGCATGAGAAAATGGTGCCAGACTTGTGAAGCAAACTGTAGCACGTTGCTTATTCCCAATGTATTTTGGTAGTGCTTAGCACTGCTCTGCAGAGAGATAGCAGACCACCCCCCAACTGTGTTTGCTAGCACCCTGCTCACTCACGTTGAATCACAGCTTGTTTTTAAGTGGGGTGGGAACTTTTCAGTAGCATGAACCAGCACATTTCAATTAAATTTTATGTTTTAAAGCCATGGTTTAATGTAACATGTGAGCCATGTCAAAACAAAAGCTTGAATCCTAGGAAAAGCTATGGAAGCTTCCCGAAGTAAAGGTTACCGTTTTATCTCTGAAAAATCTCTCTAGAGGGTCATTGCAGGGGAGGGGATTCCTGAGCATGTTTGGGTGGGCTGCTGAGACAGAGGAAGGACCTGAAAACTTTCCATCCCAGAACTTCCTTAAGTTAACATCTTTGCATCCAAGTCCTCCATTAAACAACTCAGACGTTTCCTGCTTGTTTCTAGGTCGATCCTTCTGCGACGGTTATGCAGTCTTATGGGGACAGTGTTCTTGTTGCGTTGCATTACAATGTTTGTGACCTCATTATCTGTGCCAGGCCAACATCTGCAGTGTTCTGGGAAGGTAAGCAACCACTTGCCCATCCCAAATTCTGAGGTTTACTTCTGCATTGGCCACAGCATTGAGACAGAAGTAAACTTAGGACAAACAAATTAGAAATGCCAAATGGTAGCTATTTGTCCATCTAACCTGATATTGTCCACTCGGACAGGCAGAGGGTCTTGAGCAAAGCTCTTTCACATTGCCTACTACGTGACGCCTTTAACTGGAGCTGGCATGGATTGAATGTGGAGCCTCGTGCAGGCAAGATGTGCTCTACCACTAAACTAGGGTCCCTCCCCAAAATTCAGCCCTGCTATGTTGAAAGCAGGTTGTCGAACTTGCTGCAATAGCCTGATAAAGTTCCAGAATGTGCCTTTCTCTTTAGCCAATTTAGGCAACACGAGTTCTCTGGAATACTTTCAATATTTACCGTATTTATTGCCCTATAGGGTGCACCAACCCATAGGGCGCACCTAGGTTTTTTTGGGGGGAATAAAGGGGGAAAAATTATTTCCCCCCCCCCAGGCGCGGGGCTGGGGCGGGGGAAGCCTGAGCTTCCCCCGACCCCAGCCCCCAGAACAGGCTGCTATCCGCAAGCCTGGGGAGCCCGGCGGGAACTCCCGCCGGGCTCCCCAGGCTTGTGGATATCTGCCCGAAGGCCGGGGCGCGTTCTGCTGCGCTCCCTGGGTTTCGGGCTGCAGGCTGCTGTCCGCAAGCCTTGGGAGCCCGGCAGGAACTCCCGCGGGCTCCCAAGGCTTGCGGATAGCTTCCTGAAACCTGGAGAGCGAGAGGGGTCGGTGCGCACTGACCCCTCTTGCTCTACAGGCTTCAGCGAAAAATACGGTACATGTTAAGGCAACAAATTCTAGTGCAGTCTTGGCCTGGTACCTTCGGCCTGTTGGACTGCAACTCCTGTCATTCTTGTCAATGGGCCATCCTAGCAGGGGCTTATGGGAGTTGCAGTCCAGAGTATCTCGAAGGCACCAGGTTTGGGAAGTCTGAAATACTGTGTGGCATAAGTTGAGTGGGACGACTACATCATAAAGACACAGAGTAAGCTACATAGCTCATCCTGCCTCCTGGACTAACGGAAGTAGAGAAATGAACTGATCCCACGCTATCTACTCCAGCCTTGAATCAATTCTGTTTTGTGGTATTCTGCAAAGGTCTCACACAATCATAAATCTCTTCTCAGCCACAAACTCACTCAGTGCTCTTAGCAAGCTAAGGAGATGGTGAGAGATAATACTGACCTACCCTGCAGGGTGTTGCACAGAATACTGAGAGAATGTATATGGAGCACTTTGAACACTTTAAAATGCTATGTTAATGCTAAGTCATTCAATATTGATAAAGCTGTATTCATTTTGAAAATAGAACAGAGTGTTTGAAAGAGCAAGGTCTTTGAAAGTACATCCTTTCTAACCTGAGTATATGTTACTCTGAAGATACATTATATATGTGTGTGTTTAGAGCATGATGTATTCAGGGGCAAAATGTGAACATGTATTTTTAGGCTGAATATCTCTAAGGCGGTCAAAGCTTGGTGCTTTCCTTGTGGGAAGTAGGGAAAATCCTGGAGACTTAATGCTTGGTGTGTATTTTTAAATGTAGATGTAAATAGACCAAATGTACAAACAAACAAAATGAACTGTGTTTCAGTTACCTATGGAAGCCATGCTATGTGAACTGGGGGCAAATTCAGTGCTGTTCTAAAGTTGGTAGATCGTTTCAAGTATTCTTGATGTGTTCCTTATTCATTTATTTGTTTTGCACGCTTCTGTTTCTAGTTGTATGGCAACGTGTGGGCAAAACTTCAGCGAGCCTTTGCAATCTGGAGTGGGTTTGGCATGACGCTAACAGGAGTACATACCTGTGGAGACTACATGTTCAGCGGCCATACGGTTGTCCTAACCATGCTCAACTTCTTTGTCACCGAATGTAAGTACAGCGTTGAAATGGCATCATGAATCTAGTATGTCACTCCTTTTTTTGCATCTTGATGTTGTGAAATATTTTCCTACATAGCAGGTGAAGGTTTCAGTGAAGGGAAGACAGGCATTTGTGGGGGACAAAAGCTTCCTAACTGGCAGTGGGCTTTGTGATTGACTGGATTATTATGGCTATGAATGCTCAGAGATCTGTCATTCCTGTTTAGAAAGTGAAAGCAAAGCAAATTTCAGTTTCACCAGGCTTCATGATCTGTGTACTGATGTTACCTTAAAATAATGTTTTATCGTTACAAAGGATGATGGGGATTTTTTACTTACTGCGTTCAGCGTCTAGCAAATAAGTAAGCTAGTCAAAGAAAAGACACAAGGCCATATTAGAATCTAAAAGACACTAGGAAAGAGGAGTGGAGGAAGAAAGTGTTGCGGGGGAGATGTCTTAAAGAATGCAAAGTAACAAGAAGGCAAGTTATTAAACGGCCTTTTCAGTTCAGTGAAGGCTAGGGCTTGGGAATAAATTGTCCAAAAACGGTTTGAAATCCATACTGTGACATTGGTTTCATAATTTTTGACCCGTCTATATATTGTGAATTTTGTGTGTGTGTGTGTGTGTGTGTGTTTGCTATGCAAAAATCCCAATGTGGGGGAAACCGGGAAGCCAGCCAATGCCTCTGCATAGCTCCATCCTTATTTCAGACATTGCGATACATCAGTATATCGTGATGTTTCGCTGGGGATGTATCACAATGTTGAAAACCAGATAATGCCCATCCCTAGTGAGGGCCATGCTGTCGTTCCCTTTATGGAAGGAAATAGGAAGAACCTCGAAGCAGTCCTTGGTCCTCTGGCTGGTGACTGGCATTGTTCTTCCCTTACCCTCTGCAGCCATGTGGAAGCTGACAGTTGCAGAAGATGATAGCTAACCTTCCTAATTGCTCCTAGTTGGCAGTCAATCCAGGGCACCCCTTTGTCATTTGATAACAAAACCTGATAAATTGTGAATGGCTTGAATGCTCTTCTCTCTTTCCCTAGATACGCCAAGAAGCTGGAATTTCTTGCACACACTGTCCTGGGTGCTGAATCTCTTTGGGATTTTCTTCATTTTGGCAGCCCATGAACATTACTCCATAGATGTCTTCATTGCCTTCTACATCACCACCAGACTATTTTTGTACTACC